CCCGCCCCCCACCAAACCTTTTATTTGGCAAAGGGAAAACAACCCCGTTTGCGCGCCGTGTACGAACCGCGGTGTGTCCAGATCCCGGTGTCTGGGTGCTGTGCTTCTTTCCGCGGGCTCGACTCCCGCAGCGTCCCGCTATAACCGCGATGTGACCGGGCAAGACAGACGGAGCTCCGTGTTTGGTGCTGTTTTTGTAAACAAAGAAGCACATGGCTCCCAGCCTTCTCACACACGGTCCACCTCCGCGCTGCTCAAAATAGTGCCTTCGTAGTGAAGCGTAAAAGCTCCCCCTCCCCCGCGTAAAAAAATGAACAGTCCGTGCGCGTGAAAAAAACCTCCTAGCTTTTATCTAATGTATATAACGTTACAGATCAAATCTGAAGGCTTTTGACCTAAAATGCTGCTCGTCTTTGCGCACTCTGATCAGACGCGTGGTTTAAAAATGAAAGCAAGAGGCCAAAACTCTCGGGGAGTTTATGTAATAGTTGCTTGCACATGCGCCTACTATCCGCGATCAAATACTCAGACCCAGCAGAAATGAGATTTTGCCTAGATGCTTTGTCATAGACGAACATACGTTAAGTCTTAAGGGAACTTCCAATAATTTTTAAAAATTCTGTACAGATCAGTCGTTGAGATGTAAATAAAGTCATTTAGAGTGGCTTGATGCGAAATGGTTCACTAGAGAAACTCACCATTTAGGATTTCTTGTTGTGGTGTTAAGAGAGCACTGCTTCTATGTCAAAAATGCAAGCACAGGCATTTTATTTACTATCTAAAATGACCTGTGAATCTACAAGCGTCTTCTGAGTTTTTAATATGTACTTATGATGAAGGTAAAATAAATTCTGAAACTATGTTTTATTGGGTATTATAATGCTTCGGGCACATTACATGTACCCCTCTACCAAGAATGCATTAAAAATCATTTTAGGCCAAAACCTGATTTCAAAACTACTGTATAACAATGTCTCCGGCATCAGGCAGCATGTGTAACCATTTTATGTAATAACTTTTTGAGGTAGCTTTTAAAAGGCACTAAAATCTTCAGACATTTGGTTTCTCTGACCACCACTGAACAATTCTGAATTCTCCAGAACGGAGTATTTCACATCAAACCACTCTGAATGGATTTACATCTTAACCATTCAATTACACAGAACATTAGAAAAATCGGTGGAGTTTGCTTTAATAAGGTTTACAGTTCAATGCTCGTGTCTAACGAGTCTGCGTTTGAGTACCTATAGTAAAGCCCCTGTTCCCTGAGTCTTGATCCAACCAGAGATCCTTTGTTTCACTCTTGCTTGCTATGTTGATGCAAAGAAAAAAAATGTGTGAGTCTGTGATTTTAAGAGTTTGTGTAAATGTGTGCGTTCCGTCCGCTCGCTCTCCACGTGCTCCTCCGCGCACCACAAGCTCTTTGTTTTACAGCTCCATCCGGGTACTACTAGTGCAGACAGATTCAGTTTACAGAACCGATGCTTTCAAACAATCCGATTCAGAGAATCTAACGATTCACAAACTCCTCACAGAAAGAGGAAGCAGCTGCAAGCTCTTCAAAGAAAATACAATCGAATTCAAATAGGCTGTTCTGGATATGTCACTGTATGGTACTGTACAACATTAAACTGTTAATTTACATTCGAATTCTAATATAATCATCAGTAAGTAACTGGGACGTAAACATTGCGTAGTTGTTACAAATAGGTTCGACTCAGTGAATTGGTTTGACAGATTCTTTTCAAGAAAGTGATTCGTTGACGAATCGGACACCGCCACCGAACATCCGGGTATTGTGACCCCACTACAGCTTTAACGAACTCTTCAGGAGAAACTTTTCACACTCGTTCTTAGCAGAAAATACAGTTTAGAACAAATAATCGCATATTGCTTGAAAATGCTCATCTACTAGAGGAACGACGACAATAACAAATGCGAATGCTCGCTAGCAAACCTAACAACGAAAATCTACCTGAAGGAGCCAACTTGGCCTGCTAACAATGATCCGTGCTAACTACTGAGCCATCTAAAAGCACACCACTACTGAGTAGCAAAACTCAATAACTAACGCGTTAATTAACTCACCAATACGTGCCAAAGGCTAATAACTTACTGCTCTGCCCTATATGATGAAGCCTGGTCGAAGGCGACATTTTCTCATCTCAAACTTTACTCAAACGACTAAGTATTAATTGCTAAAAACTCGTAATAAACTCGTTTTGCATTAAAACTCAAGTTAATTTTGTTTTGCATAAGAGTTAATTTTCTGGTTATAATAGCAGAGCGGTAGGTAGTTTTATACATTGAGGTATTTTGTACAATAAGCTCTCTTCAGAGTACTATGCTAAACTCGGGTTGTGTCCCTGTACAGAGGTTAATGGAGATCTCTTACCTTTCTCCGCCATATAGTCTTTCGGTGCCATTTTCAAACAGTGTTTTGAGATTCAGGCCCCTTAAATTGATCTCTTCCGACTGTATGAGCTCCTGATTATTAATGCCGACCCTGATAACCTTAAAAATATCTTTTAAATGCTTTATATATCGTCGTGTCTCCGCAACGAGCCGCTACGAACAGCAAAGTCTGCGAAAACTGGCGGGAGTCTAGCCTCGCCCTCGACCAATCAAAACGCAGGCCTGCCCGCCCTCTCCTCCAATGAAAACTCGAGTCTATCTTTACTCTCCACCAACGAATACGAGAGTCTGCGGCTTGGAAGGGCGGGTTTTCAGAGTGGCGCGAAAAGCAACAGAAACGTCACACACCACATGACAGCGCCTACCAATAACATTGCCAACTGCACCGGCGCCAAAAGTGTATAAGTGAAACGACGACCCCATACTTTCAGCTTCACTGGGAAAAATACAACAATGAACTTCTTAAACAAAAATAGTCTCCGTCTAATTAATAGTAAGTCTGAGGAAGAAAGAGTAACCAGCTCTTACCAAATCTGATTTGTGTTCACACGACATTTTAAAGTGTTTATTTCTGTGTTCAGTGTATGTACACTGGCAGTCAAACGTACTGATAAACAACTACAAATGAAGAGGACTACGAGTTTTTGATCATGGCCCTATCACTCCATTTTGCCACACTTTTCCAACGTTTATTAAGTCATCTAAAGCAGGAGTGCCTCAAAAGTATTTGGTGGGCCAAGACAGGGAGAATAATTGTCTTAGGAGGCTTCTGGGCACAAGAGAGAATAATAATAATAATAATTATTATTATTATTATTATTATTAAGATTTGTTTATTTTGAGCAACACAGAAAGATATAGCCTTATACATGTGCAGTATTCCATTGTAATAGTGTAATAGGTTTCCAGATTTGAAGACTTTTGAGATTCCTCTTTTGCTTTCGAGCCATAAAAAGTGACAAAAAGACGAGTAGTCTTACACACATGGAAGGGTAAATACTAACATCTCATTGGAATCGCAATGATATCTCATGAGTCAATAATAGTTGAAAACAGAAAACTTAATTTATTTAGTCATTCAAGGGCATATTCACATATTTTACATATTCGTGGACTACTCATTCATCTAATGTTTACATCTGCAGGGGATACACTATCTTGAGCTTTCAAGCCTTGTGGTCAGTCATCCATCTGCAGGCCTTGAAATAAAACAGTATGAAAGACACTACACAAATAAAGAAGGTAGTAAGGTTTCAAATAAAAATCGAAAAAATGTATAACACTGTATTTTCCTACTAAATACTGAATAAATACACATTAAAAAAATAATTTAATAATTTATATATATACACTATAAAATGTTTGTTCTTTTATTGTGTGGGGGTTAGGGTAATATTAGGGTATGGCTACAAAACATGCATTAACAGACAGGCTACAGTCTCTAACTGCACATCAACAATGTGGGGCTACATGCTGTGTCCGCCACCACAAATATGTTCAGTGTCTCTGCTGTGCCGATAATGCTCCTCCACCCAAATAATACCTGGTCAACAGCATTTCAAAAACTGACCAATCTTAAAGATAAACATCTAAGCTACTATTTTGCAGCCTATACTGTCTAAAGCTCAAATCACTTTATTTCTTGTAATGTTTTAATGTTCATTTAATACAATTTGAGAACAAGGGTCACATTCTTGTAAATTTTCACACCAAAATATCAAACTTACGGTACATGAATATCAGCCCCAAACTGACCAATGATGGAATGGAGAAAGAGTGGACAACAGGCTACAGTCTGTAATCATGCACCTAGTGGACCTGTAAGGTAGGTGGACCTCAATATTATCTAATGAATTGACAACTCAGTGTATGTGCATCTAAGCAATTATTTTTGACTGCCAGTGCATGCAATGGAATATTGAGTGTGTACAAAGCATAGACACATGTTGAGTAAATTGAGCTCCATTTCTCTGTCAAGCATGTCTGACTAATAAACATCACTGAGAGCAATTTAAGTTATTTTATCTGTTTATTATCTTAAAGATAAACATCTAAGCTACTATTTTGCAGCCTATACTGTCTAAAGCTCAAATCACTTTATTTCTTGTAATGTTTTAATGTTCATTTAATACAATTTGAGAACAAGGGTCACATTCTTGTAAATTTTCACACCAAAATATCAAACTTACGGTACATGAATATCAGCCCCAAACTGACCAATGATGGAATGGAGAAAGAGTGGACAACAGGCTACAGTCTGTAATCATGCACCTAGTGGACCTGTAAGGTAGGTGGACCTCAATATTATCTAATGAATTGACAACTCAGTGTATGTGCATCTAAGCAATTATTTTTGACTGCCAGTGCATGCAATGGAATATTGAGTGTGTACAAAGCATAGACACATGACACAAAAAAGAACAGACAAAATGAAAATGTCTGTTGCTAAACGTTTTATTGCCAGAGGGAGCACTGAACTTAATCTTGTTTTGTTCATAATATGAAACAGTAAATTATTCTCATCAACACAACTTATTTAACTTGTGATTTATAGGCCAATTTATTTCAAATCAGGTGCGTTAAAGCAGAAAACAAACCAAACCGTAATCTTGTTACAAAACAAATATTCTGCTTATGCTTTAGGCAGCTTGTGTTCTTAAATTTGTATTTTCAGAACTGGGAAATACTCATAGTTTAGCTTTAACTCTTAATAACCCTAAAACAGATCTGGATGGACAGCTTGGAGGAACAATTTGCTGAAATTAAACATTCATGAACTACCATATATTTTAACAAGAAAAACAAAATTACAGCATTCAAATAATTTTCAGCATGTTGAGATCATTTCTGCAGAATCCTCAGGGCTCATTCAAAAAGATCTTCCAGAAAGCTGGTGGAGTGGCGTGTGGATGGCTACAGGACATGAACAGATGAAAAACAATGAAGATGATCAACTACACCGTCTGAATGCTTATGTGACATAAATTGCCAGTTGTATTTCTCACTCTTAAAGCTGCACTACTGCTAATAATTACTGACAAATTCTGACTGTCTGCAGTTATTGGATTAAGTGCATGTACATGCACTCACTATGCACTGCAACTAAAACCAGGCGCTGAGGCCCATGGACAGTAGGGGTCGACCAATAATTGGCCCGACCGATAATTCAAGCCGATATTCAGTATTTTTCCTATTATCGAATCGGCATATGACGCTGCTTCCTTGCCGATAAAAGCGCCTACAGCGTTACTGGATTGCTTGAAATGTGGATGAATCATCGAGTACAACCAACCAGCACTTCTGTAGTCTGTCTCTGTGTCCCGCTCCATGTTGAGTAAATTGAGCTCCATTTCTCTGTCAAGCATGTCTGACTAATAAACATCACTGAGAGCAATTTAAGTTATTTTATCTGTTTATTATCTTAAAGATAAACATCTAAGCTACTATTTTGCAGCCTATACTGTCTAAAGCTCAAATCACTTTATTTCTTGTAATGTTTTAATGTTCATTTAATACAATTTGAGAACAAGGGTCACATTCTTGTAAATTTTCACACCAAAATATCAAACTTACGGTACATGAATATCAGCCCCAAATATCAGCTGTCGACATCCTTGATAAACTAATAATTGGTAATCGGCCCTGAAAAAGACATATTGGTCGACCCCCAAAATGGTTAACACAATACAGCCTATTTTACAAAGCCAAACAAAAAAAGGTACTGTATGAATGTTTATATCTCGCAATTTCATTCATTCATACAGGGAATAGTTGGCATATACAGACTTTGGTACTGAAAATGGTGACTTTTTTGCACCCGTTCTGTTAGCATGTGTGTGTTCATCTGTGCAGGGGCAGTGGTTGCGATTATTTTTGTGCGTGGTCTGCGACTTTAAGAACTCAATAAGAGCTCGTTTGGGTAATTACTAGGGCATAGCTTTCCTTCTCACACTGGAGGTCAAACAATGGACAATATATTCGGACTGATCGTAAGGTTTAGTCGGCAGCAATCAAATCGATATTAAAAACGGGCTGTAAGTGCAGAGTACATGTCTTGGTTGACATGACTTTCAACTGACATTCAGGTCTGAAAGGACCTAAACTCTGACTGGCTAACCTAGAGTCTGCTTAGGTTAGATGGATATGGCAGAATAATTTACTTTGGTTCCCAGGAATATCCAAGCACCCTTTAATTGTTTTCAAGCCTATTCTGGTTTTGGGAGGCATCAACATCAGAATATATGTCATGTACATACACGATCAGATGGGCTTCTAAAGCAAAGTTACAGCTCTCAGATACGGCTCTCATATACCTAGACTGAACGTTACTCATTTTCTGCCTCACCAGAGATACAGCCACTTCAAAGTCTGAGTCTTCATCATCATAACCCTCCATAACTGGCTCCTCTTCCTCCTCAAAGTCCTCTTCAATCAGGGAAAGCCTGAACACACTCACACACGGTGGGCTTTTATCATTATTATGCTATTAACAACAATAATAATAATTAAAAATGGACAAAACCTACTACTATTATTGTTACGTTGTAACTAAAATGTAAACTCTTCATTTCATGCTAATGTTTCACAGGGGAAGGTTGCGTTTTGCAGCTACAGAATGTTCTGAAGCCAGACACACATTTAGAGTGACACAGGACATGGATTCAATGAAATTAAACACATCAAATACACAGAAAGAAAGAAAAGACACTAAGGCAAATACGATTAGTTTTTGTGCATCTTATTGCTGCCAATATTTTGTTCTATGACATTTACATCAGTGACTCACAATACTCAAAACTTTAACTTATTAAAAAAAAAAACCAAACATTCTAAAACAGTCTAAACCATTAACTGTACACAATTATCTATCAGCTACAGAAACTCACATGTTGAGTTGTGACTGTATGTCACTGTGTTCAGATGGACTGTGCTGCTCTCTCCTGCGTTTCAATGTCTTCCTCTGCACAGGCCTACGAACACATTTAAAACCACTCTTAAAAGTACTCAAACAGCAAAATATTTTACCCAGAAAGGTTTACCGAAGTATAAACATTCATTAGGTAGTACTGGGATAGTACTGGAATAATAGAAGACTGTACAAGTTTTTATTAATAAATAAGGGGGGTCACAACCAGCCACTCTACACTAGCTGATGAGTTGAATGAGTTCTATACTCGCATCGAGGCCCTCAACCCTGGCCGACAGAGATGTTACGGCCAAGGAGACACATCGCTCACTGTGACAGTGGATGTGCGCAGGAACTTGAAGAGAATAAACCCACGGCCCAGACAACATCCCCGGGTGTGCACTCAGGGTTTGCTCATCAGAACTGGCTGACGTGTTTGTGGACATATTCAATCTGTCACTCACGCAAACTTTTGTGCCATCCTGCTTCAAGCGTTGTGACCTGCCTAAATGACTATCATGACTCATATCCAGGAGACCATTCTGAACACTATAGGTCCTCTCCAGTTTGCATACCGTCGGAACTGGTCCACAGACGACGCAGTCAACAGTGCCCTTCACACAGCCCTCACACACTTGTGCCACCCACCCTCTGCAACTGGGTGTTGAACTCTCTAACAGACAGACCCCAGTAAGTCGGCAGCCGCACATCCAGCACAAGAACAGTGAGCACAGGGGTCCCCCAGGGCTGTGTGCTGAGTCCCCTTCTGTACACCCTCTTCACGTATGACTGCGTGGCCTCCCAGAACAACACCAGCATCATCAAGTTTGCTGATGATACTACTGTCATTGGACTGATCACTGGTGGGGAAGAGACAGCGTACAGGAAGGAGGTGGCTGAGCTGGTGGCCTGGTGTCATGACAACAATCTTTCCTTGAATGCAGACAAGACCAAGGAAATGATTGTTGATCCAAGGAGGAAGCGGGAGCTGCACACACCCCTGTATATAGGTGAGACAGAGGTGGAGAGGGTGAAAACCTTCAAATTCCTTGGAGTTCACATCAGTGAGGTTCTCACCTGGTCTCAAAACACACACCTCATCATCAGGAAGTCCCAGCAGCAACTGTACTTTCTGAGAAAACTAAGGAAATTTGGCATGCCAGCCAAAATTCTCAGCACCTTCTACAGGAGTACGATCGAGAGTGTTCTTACCAGCTCCATCACAGTCTGGTATGGAAACTGCACTGCTCAGGACAGAAAGGCTCTCCAGCATGTGATCAAAACTGCACAGTCCATCTCAGGAGCAGCCTTCCCCTCACTACAGGACATTTACCACACCAGGGTCATCAGGAGGGCCCACAACATAATCAGGGACGGTACACACCCCCAGCACAGACTCTTCACACTCCTACCTTCAGGCAGACCCTACAGGAGTGTGAAGTCCAGGACTAAAAGACTGACGAACAGTTTCTATTCACAGGCCATCAGGCTTGTGAACACATCACTCACTACCTCTTCCCCCCTCCCACTCTGAGCTGGTTTAACTTTTTTGGCTCACTTTGCACTCAATAACTGCACCTTACATACACTGTACTGCTGCTGTCAGAATAATTCTGTTTACATCTATTACTTGCACAGAACACTACTGTTTACATCTGTTACTTGCAACATGCACTTTATGGACCGCTGCTTTACACACTTGCACATACGCAGATGTAACTTTAACTTTTCTTTCAGCTTTGCACGTATAATTATGCTTTTTCACTTTTTTGTTTTTATTTATACTTATTCAGTGTATTTAATATATTCTTTTATATTCTTTATATTATATATATATATATATATATATATATATATATATATATATATATATATATATATATATATTACTATATTGGTGAATGGAGGAACAGCAAAGTAATTTCATTGTACAGTGTAACTGCTTGTTACTGCTGTGCATATGACAATAAAACTCTTGAATCTTGAAGGTTTAACATGCTGGTGCGCATCAATTAATTGGACTGAGAGCCACCAATGATGCGTTTGTGTGTTTGCATACCTTTCCATGAAATCGTCCCCTGATAGCTGCCCTGAGCTGATCTCACTGAAAGAGCCTGGAGAGTGAGGGGCCCGCTGCATGTCCGCAGCTCTGTTGGACTGAACAGTGGAAGTGAGGGCAGGAGCACCCAAACTGCTGGCTGACCCTAACCACACATTGAAGATGTCAAACATTGAGATGACAACATGCTGTTTTAATATAGCTGCTGTGCTTCATCAACGTCATCAGCACACATTTTTTGATTGGAATTTCAGTGGGCATAGAAAAAAGGAGAGACTGTCCCTAACCTCAATAAACAGGCTGAGGAGCCTCTCAAATAAAAAGCAACTGTCACTGTACCCTATTACTGTGATTAGGCTATTAGGCTTCTACAACAAGGAGTTATATTGTCTTTTATGTATTTAACAACTTTAAGGTTCTCACAACTTTAAATTGTTGTGCTGTCTTTGGCTGTGCCTAACTGCTGTTAAGATCTTATTAGATTATTATAAGATAATTATAATTAGATTAATACACCAAACACCCAGTTAAAAACTGACGGGCAACACATTGTGTTTTATAATTGTTTTATTTTGTCCACTCATATAGCTATAACAAATGCACTGCTTTTTTAAATAGAAAAAATCTGTTTACAGTCAAATTTGAGCAATATAAATCCAATTGATCATGGTTAAATCACAACTGTGATTAATCACAATTATTTTTATCATTTAACAACCCTAAATACTATACTACAAAATATGTACCAAGAACCCTTTCTATACCACATAAACAACTGACAATGGCTAATGAGTTTACATTAATGCACAGATTTCCAATGCTCGTCCTGGAGTACCCTACATTTTAATGTCTTCTCCGCTCCCAACAGACCCACTCCAGGTCATGAAGGACTTAATGAGCTAATTAGTTGGATGAGGTGAGTTGGGAACAGGAGAAACACAAACATTTAGGGCAAGGGGTACTCCAGGACCAGGGTTGGGAATATCTACATTAACATATTGGCAACCTCTGCAAGAATATCATCAAGAAAACTACATTCACTTTGTGGCATAGAATCCCTTCTAATTTATGAATTCAGCGTATCCATTGCTGACACATGCGTTCAACTGTACACACCCAGCTATATAATCTCAATATAAAAGCACTGCAAATAGAATGGGATGCTCTGGAGCAGCCACACATGAGCCTACGGTCACCACAGCAATGCCAAGCATCAGTTAGAAGGGTTTTAAAGCTCCCCAGCACTGGACTGTGGATTAGTGGAACAGTGTTCTCTGGTGTGATGGAGCGCCATTCAATACCTTTCGGATGAGTTGGAGTGAAGTTCGCAATCCAGACTTCTGAACATTTAGGCTATGTTCACATTACAAGCCCTCAACAGCACTGAGATGTTCATTATTAGAGGGAGATAAAGGTGAAAAAAGGTCAGATGCTTTACTTTTGCAGTGTCTACTGGCACCAACTCCAATTTAGGTGCTATACAGCTGCCACATTAACCCTGAATGATGGTTCTCATTAAGATTGCACGACCACAAATTAGATATGTATTTGGTCTAGGGCCACAAATTAAAGTGGCTCAGATCTGATTTGTAAAGATCAGATCTGTATTGTCCAAACAGCTCTCAAAAATTTGACTGATCTGATATTCCAGATTTGTGCCACTTCAGCCTGGTAAATTGAACACAACCATAATGTGCATTCATTCACTACTACTTCAACATGCAACTTAAATCATTTTAAAAATCCCACCCTGTCCAAAGACTACAGACTGTGCGCGCATGTACTTGTGAGTGTCTGTCTGTGTACTAACCTTCCATACGGCGCCGTTTCTTGGCAGGCGAGACATAAGGGGAGAGAGTTGCCATCTCTCTGGATCCCAAACGCAGGGAACGCTTGTACATATGCACACAACTGCTGCTTATGTTGCCACACATATGCTGTAGGTAACTCAGCCTAGAGAAAGAGGTGGGGGGGGGGGTTACTGTGTTTATCTATGTAAAACCGAATAGTGTTCAAGTCTGTGTAAGGCAACAGGCAGCAACGACATAAGAAACTAAGTATGTGTGTTCATGTCTCAAACATACAGCTGGGTGCGGTCCTGCTGTACAAGTTTGAAGCTAAATTCACTGAGGATCTCCAGAAATCTCAGATTAGAATGGTCACCTTCATCGGCACCCCGCAGAGCAAACTGAATTCCATCCCTGCACACACAAACATATAAAATATTTTAAACATTAAGACAGATTCTTTAAAAATACATGCAACAAATGTAATGGATGTTTCAAAAATCAAACAGTACTGTCAAAGTTAACCCATAATAAATGATTAATGCCACAATTGTTTCAACGCTTTGAACACATCTTCCTAGATTGAGCCTTTGAATTATCCGATGCACCAGCTAATGCCCAGATGCTGACTATGTTGCTGTGACTGATTCTGTGGCAAATGTATCTTTTGAATGGCGTGTTTCAGCAATATGAAAACAAAAATTATTTCCAGCAACTGCAACACTGTCGCTGAGCCTGTAGTACACACAGGAATTATCAGTAATTTTGCAGACTACATTGGACAGTGCTCACAGAAGAGACATTACCAAAAGCAAATGCCAAGTTGAACCTTGGATGTGTGGGAAAATATCCCCTCAAAATTTATATATGTTTCTAAAATAAGCAAAAAGCGGAAAAATTAAACAATGAAAAATTCAATATCAGCTGTTAAGACTTCTGTTTTTTCCAGATGCTGAAAAATGAATAATGTTGACTAAGTTGCCATTCTGACCGCAAAAAAAAAAAACAAAAAGGGTGGTCTGATTTTCGCAGTCTTTTTTGTCGCAGTTGGAATCCAGAAATTTCTTTCAGAATCAATCAGATTTCTATCATTCTGTCTATTTATCTAAAACACTTTTAAAATAAAAACCTTCACGTACAATTTTCATAGGTAGCCTAAGACCTGTACAGCCCATTGGTGAGACTTACTGGTGCAAAGCCAAGAGAGGTTTGCGGATGTGCTGTAGGTTGATACCAAAGCTCATGGCAAGTCTCTTGGCCAGATCTTTAATTTCTTTCATCTCTTCATTCTGCTCCTCGTCTCTTAATGAAGAAAACAACTACGCGCACACACACACACACACACACACACACACACACACACACACACCACTTCAACAAAGACTATTGTTAACGTAATCCATAACCCACAATCCAAAGTATATAACGATCTTATAATTCTGAAAAAAAAAAAACAAAATAAAAAAAAATATCAAAATAACCCAACACTGCAGGCAGACAGAGTAGTAATAGTAAATTAGTGGTCAAAAAAACAAGTATAATTCCCCTAAAAACACATACTGTGCATATTGTTTAAATGTGCACAGCGGGATCGGTGCAGTGCCGTGCTGAAGTCTCTATGCCTCTAGCTCACTCTGCAGCCACAAAAAAAATCTCCAGATGCCCCTGTGCTGCTCTACATCACTCTGCAGGACCTTACCTGTACCTCATTGTCAAGACAAACACACACCTGTTGAAGGCTGAGGCAGACGGTCCTGGCACTCTCCACCGCACTCATGATCTTGGATTTGCTCAGTGTTTCCTTTATTATGTCACCATAATCTCTGTAGAACTATACAAAAAAATACAACACTTTCATAACCTTCACATGGCCTATGGTGTCATTCTTGCCTAGACTAAAGGACATTATGGTCTCTCTCTTTCTCTCTCATCACTTGGAATGCCATGGCTTGAAAGTATCATGTAAATTTGTCACAGTTTACAGACTGCTATTAGGACATCCCTATCTTTTTCTAGAAATAACAGTGCAGTTGTTCCCAAAAAAGATAGTGCTGTGAAAAAGTATTTGTCCCCTTCCCAATTTCTTGTTTTTTGGATATATCACATTTGAATATTTGAGATCATCAAACTCCTTTTAATATTAGAAAAAAATAACCAAAAGTAAACACAAAATGCTGTTTTTAAATAATAATTTAATTTACTGAAGGAAGAATGCTGTTCAGCCCTACCTGGCCCTACGTGAAAAAATAATTACCCCTTTGCTACTAAATCAACTAGTTAACCAAATTTAACTGACTATTGGGTTCAATTTCACTAACCACACCGAGACATGATTACTGCCAGACCTGTTGAACCTAAAATCACTTAAACAGAACCTGTCTGGCAACGTGGAGCAGGCTAGAAGCTCTCAATAAGCAGCACATGATATCATGTTCTGAAGAGATTCAAATACAGATGCGAAACATTGAAATCTACCAGTCTGGAAAAGGTTACAAAGCCATTGCTAAGGCTCTGGGACTCCAGCAAACCACAGTGAGATCCACTATTCACAAACGGAGAAAACTTGGAACAGTGGTAAACCTTCCCAGGAGTGGCCGACCAACCAAAATGGTCGCACATCGACGACTCATTCATGAGGTCACAAAAGAACCCAGATGAATATTTAACGCACTGCAGGCCTTCAATGTACAACGTTCATGTCCATAATAAGAAAGACACTGGGTAAAAATGGCATCCATGGGAAAAGGTGCAAGGTGCAAACCACTGCTGACCAAAAAGAACACAAAATCCCATCTTGCACATCTAGATGATGGCCAATACTTTTGGGCTGATATTCTGTGGAGTGATGAGTGAAAGAGTAAACTTGGAAGACATGGGTCCTGTTACACCTGGTGTAAAGCTAATACCGCATTCTGAATGAATTCTGCTTTCTATCAAAAAAATCCTGAAGGAGAATGTCCGCCCGTCATTTCATGACATTTCATGCTCAAATGCAGTTGGGTTATGCAGCAGGACAATGATCCGAAGCACACAAACAAGTCCACCTCTGAATGGCTCAAGATACAAAAATTAAGGTCTTGGAGTGGCCGAGTCAAAGTCCTGACTTGAATCCTATTGAGATGCTGCGGCAAGACCTTACATGGGCAGTTGGAAATCCCTCCAATGTAGCTGAATTAAAACAATTCTCCAAAGAAGATTGGGCCAAAATTCCTCTACAGCGATCTGATGTTTGATTGCAGTTGCTATTGCCAAGGGTGGCACAACCAGTTATTAGTTTCAGTGGGGCAATTACTTTTTTACATGGGTGACAGAGGTTTATTAATTTGTGTTTACTCATGTTGTCTTTATCTTATATTAAAATTATTTGGATGATCTGAAACATTTAAATGTGACAACTTAGTGAAAACAGAAGAAATACTTTTCCACAGCTCTGTATACAGGAGCAAAAAAAGAAAAAAACAATTCAGATGTTTTTTTTTTCTTAACTGTAACTTTGTGTGTGCTAACACACCTTGCTGTAGTATTTGAAGATGTCAGTAGCTGCCCTGAAGTTGAACACACCAAATATAATGAGTTTGCAGTATCCTGCCAGTTGGTTCCGTCTACGCCTAAGAGTACCTAACTTCATTATCTCCTCCTCATCCTCTTCTGCAGCAGATCACAGGCAAGAGTTAGAATGAAGGCACCGGAGCATTAGAAATGTGTTACCACAATCAGAAACAGATACAGCAGTCTGCGATAACTAAAAGCATTAAAAAAATAACATTAGGGGTGGGAATATCAAGGAATATCTAGGCAACTTATAATGATTTTATTTCAGCGTACCAAACTGTGTTCATAAAATGATTCTTGATGCATCTCTACTTCCGATTTCTATATCCTACACTATGATTTATTGCTGCATTAGTCATTAACAAGGTTAATTACAGCTTCACCTACTTTCCATTCTATTTTTATAACATGAATTGATTTCCTTAAAATCTATCATAAAAAATTCCATATTAAATACTATAATACTGATTAACATTTTTTGAAAATCATTTCACCTCTTGTTTAGATGATGCATACAAAAGCGTGCTAATAGTGGCCCCTGCTGGAGAAACAGACTGATACATGTACTTTACTAAAGTAAATGAGTGAGTCCCAAAGCCATGTCCAAGTATTTGCATGTTAAAAAAAATAAATAAAAAAAATAAAAAAAAAAAATAAAAAAATGTAAAGGTATCCTCTACTCAAAAGGTATTTTCCATCATTATAGTGGAGTTGCTCTGGAATTCCGCTACAGAATATCACATGATCGCCTACAGCTGAAACGATGACATTCATGAAATATTTATAGTTTCATAATTTTACAACTCATCTGCACACTTAAGCTGTACAGAAAATGCTGAGAATGTTCCTCAGGTGCCACATAGCACTTTAGTTCTTATTCAGTACAATTACGCACCTAAAGTTCTTACATAAGGTATATTTATTATGGTCTTTACTTCATATACTAAACCAATTTTGTGACCAATTTTTGACTACAAACGTGCAATCATTAGTGAGATTCTACCCTTTTTACCTCCTCCAAGCTGGACAGCACCAAATATTCCTAATTTAACATGTCTCTGGGTCTGCGTGAATTAATTTTTCTTACAGTACGAGAAAGTCTTTATAAAAATTCGATTATGACATTTTGTAAATTGGTGAATAAAATTTCCCCACCCCTACAAAACACACTGCAAGTATAATCACATTTGTTTTCATTTCTAAACACATACCTTCTGCATTATCATCAGGGTCTGTAAATATGTAGTCCAGCAGGAAGGATGCCATCTCAGCTTTCAGTGTCTCATCTGGAGAAAAACTCGCACTCTGAGGCTCTGCTCTCTCAGTCTGCTGCCCGAACACCACCAACACATCACACAAACACTCAAATGCCTGTGAGATCAAGAACGGGCATGAAATGAAAAGAAAAAAGTAAGGTAATTAAAATATAAGATTCTGAACTTCAAGTATGCATTAGGTACTGAAATGTTTCTTGGGTCTTTGTGAAAAAGTAGTCAGTGTGACTTAGTAACACAGACACTTTGTGTTGAGTTTCTGTGGCTCATTTCATCCAACCAATCCTGAAGTACATGGTAGTTAGAGGCTGTAGGCTGTTATTTAAAGCTTAGCTGAGCAGGTCAAACTACAGCAATCATTCAGGCACTCATCAGCAAAGCTATATTCTCAAGCCAATAAATGTGCATGGAACTCTAGACACATCATTCTACCCAGGTGTGTGAACACTGAAGCTGTGAACACAATATGAAGAAAATAATTAATGTAATTTTTGAATGTTGCAATGTCGATGAAAGGCAATGAATCAAAGGCTAAAGCCCTAGGGAACCTCAGTCCATAACTGTTTTAAAATTAGGTTAATGCTCATCTTGACACACAATATACAAGTACAAAGTACAAAGGAAGCTCTACAAATAACGTTTCAATATCTACATGTAGTTTGTCAGAATTTTTAACTCTTGATGTAAACTGAGTGGTCTTAATATTGCACAAAATTTACCAAATTTTACAGGGAGCACTGTCACTGTGGGTTACCTGGCTTTAGAGCTTCTGTCTGATTTACAAATCTGCATCAGTGGTCTGATATATGTAAGGGCTGACAATCCTGATCCTCTGTGCTTAAGCCATTGTGTACAGTTCGCCACTTCATATAGTTCTGTAAACAATGGTAATGTGAAAATAAAGGAAATGGGAAAGAAAATTACTCACTTGGTCTCTGATGTGACTCTGATCCAGAGGGAGGCAACTCTGACAAACAAGACAGAAGGAGCGAACCATTTTCTGTAGCTTCTTTAACTCAGCCTTAGAGAGAGAAACAAACATAATTACTTGACAGAACACATTTACTGCATTTTCTTCAGGTGAGCAGAATCTGAGAAACTGACTCTTTTCACATTACAAGTAAAGTACACATAAATTCTCCTCCCTTTTCCTTCAGAAAATTATCATGATGTATTTATTTTAGTGTAGCCTCAGCTGTTAAATGCACTAGTGACACCCAGTGGACAGAAACAGCATAATGTGCACACAACACGTTATGACGCAGCAAAACCAGTGATGGCAAAAGCACTGAAAACAGACAATCTGATTAATTTGATTACTCACAATTTGGAAAATTAGAAGTGTTGCTTGGAAACGTTACTCAAATGGGAATACTGAAGTATTAATGGCGAACACTAGCTTCAGGTCCATAAAAACTGTTTATTAAAGTTATATATAATAAACAGTTTTTGTGAGCAACATTCAATGTGAACTTATTTTTCTCAGTTTCCATTTGTCATTAAAGGTTCTGTCATGAAGTTATAAGGAAAACGAAACGCTTAGACCACTCAATTAGAAATAATTTGTTATAACAGCTGCTTAGCGGTGTGTAAAATATAATTTTTTGTAAGTAAACTATTGCTATCTTGGTAGAACTTTCAGAGAAATATTTTCAACACCAACTTTCCTTATAACTAATCTAAATTTGCATGGGGTCTATAGCCATGATTTTGTGGGTGAAATTAGAGATACTGTCCTCATTTACTTGTACTGTTAAAAATTTACTGTTCCCAACATCCGATACCCGCTGATAATGTGTGACGTAAGCTAAAGTTTCACTGCTGTACTAATAAAGAAATGCAATGAAGGAATAATGGCCCAAGGTAACTAATATAGCATAGCTAGCTAATTCATGAATGCATCCCTAGGTAAAATAAAAACCATTCGTTCAGGTTAAAAGAGCTCTTAAAAGAAATTTTAAGAACAACTTTTGAGATCTATGTACTTCTATTACAGAACTGTAAAGACAGAGTACACCAGTGACCTACCTTGTCTGTTTGAGCAGCTACATGTGAAATTTTCACTTTTCCCCAGAGCAGATGGAAAGCAGCGCACTTCAGTGCTGGGACCATTAACTATGAAACGTTCACACAGAGTCTTAACAACTTAAACAAATATACTCATGACAATAATGAATACATATTTCTTAGATCATAAATATTTACATATATAGAAAATCAAAGGAACATATGTAAAAACAAAAAAACAAAAAAAACAAACCACAACAAAAAAAAAAAAACTTGAGTTTCCAAAACTGGAGTTACTAAAAAATTGGAACTTCTGTGAAATCCTGCTGTGATTTTGAACCTGCTCCTACTTCATTCCTAAAGATGGTTTTTGATTGTGTTGAAAATGATGTCTTAACTATTGTTAACTGTTCTGTCAACAGGTGCTTTTCCAGATGCCTTTGAAACTGCCCTGGTGAAGCCCCAACTGAAAAAGAATAGCGTGGATCTTTCCATACTAAATAATTTTAGACCAATGTCGAATCTTCCTTTTTTAAGTGAAGTCTTAGAAAAAGTTACCTTCAAATAATTGAATGCATATCTAACATTAAACAAGTTACAAGAGAAGTTTCAATTAGGTTTTTATTCTAACCATAGCACTAAGACAGCACTGATTTGTGTTGTGAATGACCTCAGACTTAGCACTGATGCAAAAAACAACAAAAAAAAAACAAAACAAAACAAAATCAAAAATCTATTTTGGTCTTACTGGATCTTATTGGTGCAACTTTTGATACCACTGATCACAAGATTCTAATAAACTGCCTAGGTAGGCCTCTCAGTTTTAGAATGGTTTAAATCATATTCAAACCACAGACAATTCTTGGTTTCACTGGTCTTTGTACGTTACCTCTATGTGAATTCTATACATTTTCATAGCTATACTGATGACATGTAATTATACTTTATGATTCCTTCTAATGATCAAGAGTCTGTAGACAGGCTTACCAGTTCTGTGTCAGATGTTTCTCAGTGGATGTCACATAATTTCTTACAACTTAATAACAAAAAACAAGAACTACTTGGTATTAAAACTCAGAGAAAATTGCTTTATGAGCAGCTCTGTTCTTTACCTTCGCAAACCAACCCTGAAGTACAAAACCTGGGTGTAATCTTGAATTCTGAGCTGTTTTAACCTGCATGTAAACGCACTCGTGAAAGTAGCTTTTTATCATTTGAGAAATATTGCGAAAGTTCTGCCTTTTCCATCTCAGAGTAATGCAGAGAAACTTTTTAATGTATTTGTTACAAGCAGAATTGATTGCGGTAATGCTCTTCATACCGCACTTCCTAAAAAACAACAAAACACATACATCCTCTACTCAAGCAAAATGCAGCAGCACAAATCCTAACAAAAAACAAAAAAGAGATCATATCACTCCCATTTTGAAAGAACTGCACTGGCTATGTGTATCTTTCAGGCTAGATTTTAAAATTCCGCCTCACAAAATGTCTGTCTAGATTTAAGACGTGCTCTCAAATCTACAGATACTGGCCTTCTGCAAAATACAGAAAACATGGAGTGGCATCTTTCAGTTAGTATGCTTCTAAACTGTGGAACTCAGTAATAATAATAATAATAATAATAATAATAATAATACTTTTATTTATATAGCACTTTTCATGCCGGTGGCAGCTCAAAGTGCTTTACAGACAGGTGATAAAACAGTTATAGAAAAAATCATTAGTACTTAATTAGAATCAGAAGAAAATGAAGATTAAATTACAAGATAAACACCACGAGACATTCAGTTTTAGTTAAATGCTAATTTAAAGAGATACGTACCACCTTATATTAGACAGTCAAGCTCAGTTCACATGTTTAAGAAACTTTCTTTACCTTAGCATTCAATTAAAATACTATGTCTCTTTGGTATTTCTCTTTACCTTCATCTGTCATTGTCTTGTTAATTACTGTAAAACATTATCACCTGCCTGTACAGCACTTCGAGCTGCCACTGGTAGAAAAAGTGTTCTACAAATAAAGGTATCATCATCATCATCATCATCATCATCATCATCATCATTATTATAAACAACCATGCAAGACCTGGTAGGCCATCATCACTACCACCATCAGATAAATAGTACTTAAAGCTTTTGTCTGTGAGAGAGGGAAAAAAATAATAATCTACCCCCTCTTCTTCGTTTAGGTCTTAAAAAAAAAACAGTTCAAGAGAATATATAAAAAGCATAAAATTTGCAAATCAAACAGAAGATGCTGGTGTTCTCAGAGCAATGAAGTGGCCACTCCAGATTCCAGACCTCAGCATCACTAAGTGTTTGTGATTACTAGGATTGTGAGAAGCAGAAAATGCAACCAATTTCTAAGACTGAACCTTGAAAGTGTGGAAAAAGCAGCCTGCAGATTTCTTTGAAAAACTGAAAGCAAGGACAAAAGCTGTAATAAAAGCAGCACCCAAAATACTGAAAAAACTGATGTTATATTTAGCTGTTAAGAGTCCGGTGAATTGTCTATTAACGATTTGCTTTCTGCTTTTTTTCCCCTAATGCTGAAAAATGAATAATAACTTGTACTTAATTGGCTTTCTGACTGGAAATTAAATAAATGAAGGGTGCATTATTGTGTGTTTATTACCTCTTCGTCAATTTCCCTGTCAAATTCCACTCCAGCCTTCAGCAGTGACAAACACGGTTCAAATAGATTCAGTGCAGTTATATCTCTGGCTCTGACAAACACACACACACACACACACACACACAATCCAAATGTCCAGAAATATGCCAGGTTCACATGCATCCACAGCTATGGAGCTAAAAGGCAATTGATCATGTAAAATAAAACTTGGAGTGTCGGAGTGTCTGTTTAGGTGTGCTGGCACGCATCGCACTTAAGATTGTTGATCTGTATGTCAAAATGATAACTCAAAATCTCAACTTCAAGATAAAACCTGAAGACTTTGTAAACTACACATGTATAGAATGTGATACATATCCACTCTAGTGCCCAATCAATATATTGGTTGGCCCGTAATATCAGCTGATATTAGCAATCCATGATATTATCCCCACCAGACAATAATATTGCTGATACGTGCACCTTTTATGTCGTCACAGCATCACCTGTACTACAACTTATGATCTGCCTAGTGCAAAATAGACATTTGTGCCACTGAACAGCTCAATATAGGCTGAAGTGATGAATCTGAACACAACACTATGTTGTGCCTAACAAAAACATAAAATGCATCCAAACATTTTCATACCTAATATGCTTTAAGCTTTGTAAAACTCAAAGCATCACTGTTTGCAGCATGATAAGGCCTCACTGTGTTAGTAATTAACTTATAATGATGTACTGAACACTGTTAAATGAAAAAAAATATTATCCTTGTAACCAACTTGTAACTCATTCTCAAAGTCTTTCATTTTCTTTCGGATTTGCAGTGTAAATGTGCAAAATTCCTGGCTCTACCTAATGGTTTGTCATATATTGCTTTAAACCTGAAGAAATGTAAGACATATTTTAAAGTCTGATAATGATACTAGGCACAAGGTCACACATTAAAACACATGAGTGAATCAACATAGGAAGCTGCTTCAACATAAAAACCTGCTGAAGACCGCCAGCCTCTTCAGGGAAGTTGCAGCACTATACGCATCATCCTCATCCGCTGCACCCTAAGAAGAAGGAAAAAAAACAACAATAAAAATAAAACAGAAATGACACAGCCACAGTCCAGAACAAATGATCTTTCCTAAAGGCTTGTTCGTTTGATCAGGGTCAGATGTTACTTTTACAAACCCCTTCATTCAAGATTTAAAGCCAATCACACCAATGTTTAGAGTTATCAATAATTTCAGTGAGGGTACTATCAATTAACCTTGAGTATTCTGCATCAAATGTTTTTGAGACTGTGCTGGACATAACATGTATGGTGGGGCAATTACTACAGAGCAGTTTTCCTAAAACGACCAATATTGCAAGGATACTGTCCTCCAGAACACCATCTGACCAAGTTTTCACTGTGCACTGGACAAAGGTGCTCCAAATGTGTACTGAGGGGCTGCTGCTCACCCTAATCTACAGGCAGAGGAACAACTTTCAATATCTGCTTTCACTATGACACCATTTCAGATGCTTAAGAATATCTACTATATATAATTACTATTTACAATGAGTACTAAGAACCATGTTTGACAACTGAGGTAAATGCAAAATAAATGTAAACAGACCCAAACAATATACAGATATACCTGTAAGTCTGCACCTGTAAGAAAGCAGGAGTTTCTCTGGCTTGGCAAAAACAGTGCTGAATGTTGTGCCAAATTTCTCATCATTTGTGTCCCATACATCGCGATTACATCTCCAAGCATCAGACTTGGCCAGAGTTTGGTAAATATTAGTCATTCACGCTGTCAGTACAGCTTCGGACATCTCAGCTTTGTTGACGTGAAAGGGCGCAAAACCCTACTGCTGCACGATGCATGTGACCGACAAGAGGTGCCCTACAGGTGGGGCTAGTGGACATACAGGCCTGGCTCGCGGGCTGCTATGCTAAAAATAATATATATTATGATAAACCAAGACTAAAGGCTATCACTACCCCAAGAGACCAGTGGTTCCATTCATTTATCTCTCTAATGTACATCCCCCTCAGTAGCAACATGCACTAACATTAAATCAGAGTATAAGTGACAACACAGCAATAGATGAGGGATTACTGACAGAAGCCTGGCTTAGCCATTAAGGTAAAGTGCTAAGGTTAGCATGCTTTACACTATTTGTATGTTATCTGGTGTATTTGTTACATATCGGTAAAAACTAATAGCTTAGAAAAAATTCTGAATGGCATATCACCCACTACTACTGCCTTTTGACAAAATAGTGCCAGTATCGGAAGGTTGCACTGATAGGTTTCTGGTGCAACCCCACTTGAGTTACTGGTCAGAAACTTGCAGGCTCACTTTGTAGTCTCAGTAAATCATATCTGACCAACAAACATTCCACTTGTATATTCAATCCATACAATTTATAACAATCATTTTCTACTCTTCTGATCTACTTAGGTATTCTTAAAAGTAGATATATATATTTTTTTAAATTTTAACATAATATATACAGATTTGCACAGTAAGTTGTGAAGTGTGGAAGTCACCTGTAATATGTCTGAGAAGTGTGCAGTAAATTTCTCAAGCGTTGTGTCCAGCAGCTGGCTGACAGATATCTCAGCACGGGCAGAGAAGGTGTACTGATCAGAACACAATGCATACAGAACTTGTACACACGCCTCCAGCACATGCTCCTTGTGATGTTTTTCGACGACCTCACACACCTGAGCCAACAGCAGCTCTAAATACTGATGGAGATTAAGAGGCAGACAGGGACCACACCCTCATAATAGGCCAATTTGAAAATTCTAAACCACTTATTTAGCCAAGGTTATTAACCAAAACAGAATGTAAAAAAAATCCAAAAGAAAGTTCAAACCCAATTCACAAAGTACCTTCTCTAGGCGACCTGTACTGCCATAGGCTTCAAGGTCAAAATAAAGCGGTGCTTTCAGCAGACAGGTTACTTTTTCAACATCTGCAGAGTACTGAGAGAGAGAGAGAGAGAGAGAGAGAGAGAGAGAGAGAGAGAGAGAGAGAGAGAGAGAGAGAGAGAGAGAGAGAGAGAGAGTCAAGTGTAAAAGTCAGCATTTGAACATGATTTAAAGTATAGTTTTAAACCAGTGGCTGATTTCTGTCCCCCAATAAGATTAAATTTACCTTGGCAAGTAATTGTGGCAGCAGGGGTATAAAATGGTGGGTGATGCGTCTTCTCTCTTGAACTTGGAGCTTCCTGCTTTTAATTCCTAAATTCTAAAACCCACAGTATTTTGGATCAATCAGTATGACAACTTCTTGCATGCCATCCTTTAAAGGTACTTAGATATTTAATTTGGTTCTTTCTTCTTGTTTAGAGGAGAAGCACTTAGCTCTTAGCACATGGAGTCTGTTTAGAGTAAAACTCCAAAAAGAAGTTTCATTTATGAACCTTTACTTACAGGTATCAACATTACTTAAGACTCCGATGCGCTTGATGAGGGTGTATATGGCATTAGTAACGACTGCATTATGGACCAGCCACATATATCAAATACAAAATCCTCTCCCCTAATATCCACTCTTTTACCTTCTTCCCAAGTGCACGTGACCTAGGTGGTGTGGCTTCTGCCGCCTGTCTGACTGCACATATCATGAGTTCAATCAGAGCAGCCTCTTCATCATCCTCCAGACCTAACAAACCACACACTCACACACACACAAAATGACATCACAGGAGCCCATGAAACGGTTCGGACCTAACAAACATCAGCATTTGGCACCAAGAGAGCGAACAAGAGAGAGAGCACATCTGTTTTAGTCTGAAAGAAGACTCACCTTGCCCCTCTCCTCTCTCTTGCAGCAAGAGTGATGTCATCGTCTCCCAGTCTCTCAGCTCTGTGCCTGCCACAGCCCAAAGGCTGTCCACCAGGTATGCAGCATGCTCATGATACTGACACATGCAATGAGATCACATTTACAGAATTTACTCCAGCAAGTCAAAGGTTGTTTCAAATATATATATATATATATATATATAGAAGAGTTTCAAATATAAATTTTAAGCTGATTAGTACATTTTCTTTTTACATGTAGCAGAATTTTTGTTAATGTTTCAACAAAAAAAATCTGCATTAGCTACATAGCACAACGGTCATTGTTACAGTTGGTAGTGTCCAAACTGATACTGGCTCTACCATGGCCTCTTTTCCACAGTAGAGCCAAAGGATTCCCATGGTAGTACCATTTCATATAGACTCGCTTCATGTTTTGTTTTTTTTTTTTCCCCATCTGATGTGCACGCAAGATCAGGACCAGGAAATACTGAAAAAAATATGAACACAGTGGCTCAGCAAATCAGTCAGAATCGAACCTATACTGTGGTATGTGGCACTGTTGGCACCTGTAGCCTGCTAGATATGCCAGTGCCAGGTCAGCTAGCAAGTTACAGATCTAAACACCATGAAACAGGTTTAATTTCTGCTTTCTGTCCCTCCAGCACAAGTCGCTCAACTTTGCTCTCTCAGATTGCGTCACTATCATGTAACCCTGTGTCACTAAAATATCTTCGAAACGGGACGTGCGCAATATAGCGCGAAAGCCCTGTTTCGGCGTGCAGACTGCAGGTCACTTAGAAATGATGCGTTTATAAGCAGAGCAGTTGGTTTCCTGGTACGTTAAATCTGCAAAGAGAGACTGTGAAACACTTAACAGTTGCGAAGATGAAGTCGCTTCTTTTTCGTCCACATCGCGATGCATCTAAGAATCAATTTTTTCCCCACACCCCTAGTGTATAATGTTACCTTGCTTTGAATAAAGAAGGATGTAAGCAGGCTGAGGAAAGTGACATTGCGTTTTTCTTGTTCCACTCCTGGTAAGGGTCCCACCTCTGTACACAGCCTGCACATACATGCACATACAGTTGATTATGACTGTAGGTTTGAATTGTATCTATGATGGTGTTGAAGATAAACTCACATATGATAAAGGAACTCTCCAGCTACAGAGGCCAGTCCTCTGTGTGCAGCAAACACCAGCGGATATACACGATTGCACTCCTCATCAGTCAGAACATCCTCCATTTTCCTACACATGAACGCACAAAGTTCCAATGTAGTATATGCTATAGGCTAGGATTACCCTTCTTAACTAGCATGCGTGCACAATTCATGACAACAAATACTTACTGTTTGATGAGCAGCAACAGTCTGACAGTCTCCTCAGCCACATCAGAATCTTTGTCCAGCACCATGTTCAACAATCTCTCCTTTAAAATACAGATCTTGAGTTAAAACAAATACAAGCACACAGAAAAAGAAAACAGGCTCCCACACTCCAATTCACCTTAAAGCGGCTGGTGAAGAGCTCCAGACGTCCAATAAAGTCTTGCTCCTCATACAGCTTCTGCAGGGACAACACAGACTGCATGCGAACGCTGGCTTGCTGTGGGAACCAAAACACGAGCACACAAAATAAAATGTTAGTGGCACCATTTTTGAAAAGAACATTCATGGGCGTACATGTGCGACTGAAGCACACATCCTGTTTCTCTATTTGATAGTGACTGGTCATTTGACTTCATTTAATCTTAGCTTGTACTCCAAGTGAAATGCAGTGGGCATGCTTTGCTGCCTACAGAAGTGTACTTATTAGGGGGTGCTTGTCTGGAAGCATATCTGTAGCAAATGAATGAATTCAAATGAAAGTGTAATACGTAAAATGGAAATGTGAATTGTAGAGGGGCCCCTAGATGAATTCAGCTGAAAAATGACAGTACCAACACAGTACAGCAGTTACTGCCAACATAGCCACTAAGTCAGGACAATTACAAGTAAATAATTACATTTTTCGTAACAGATCAGGTGGAACACACACTGTTTTCTCTGGTAACATTTGTCTGTGGCTGCCAGCCTTGCCAAAATCTTTGGCAAGCTTATCTACACACTTTATGGCTAAAGTAACATGACTGTCGCTAACGGCGTACACTTTTCTGTGGCTGCGGCAACGTGCTTAAACTTCTCACTCACTTCCCAAACCAAACCCGCTAATTTAGGCTGTTATGTTGCTGAGTGAAGCAGTGGAGACTGGCAAACAGTTGAGGACATAATTTGTAGACTCCCTCATAACAAAGGGACTTGGAAGTGTTCTACCAGAAGGTCCAAAGTGTAAAATACTCTAAACAATTCTACCAGCTTCTAACATCCTAACATCACTAAACAAAATAACTAAAACATCACCCAACAAATGCCTTAGTTGAGAGTGCAAATGCACATAAGGTAAATTATATTTTAACTGTGATTTTGACACCATTCTTGCATAATCACATGAAGCACAAACATGCAGCTCTGTAAACACATTTTAACTTAAATAAAGCTACTTTCAAGGTGTCTAAATCTCTATGTAAATGAACTGACAATACTAGCGTACCAAATGGCCAATTACAATAGTAAAAACCTTAATTTGAATTTTCATGTGGAGTACTACATTGCAAATAAGAGTAGGAAGAACGCATGGCCACTTCACATTCATAGTCACTCATAGTTGACTGTGTAGTTTTTATCATTTGTGTGTTAGAAATAAAGAGCCTGGATGGTGGATGAGGACGATGAGTGAATTGAAATGATTCACAAACTAGTAGTCATGATTATCTGTATTTATCTGGGGTGCCAAGTTCAGTATATAATGGCAGACATGACTCCTTCAAGCAGCTTGTTCTTCGTGCACCGTAACTTACCACAACAGTGTCAATGCAAGGAAAAAAGCTGCTGCAGATTTGAGAGCCATCCATATACACTTAGGTAATCAATCCACCTTCACAGTTGGAGCTAAGCGTAGGCTTACATGTAAACGAGTGACTCCAAGTATACAGACAAAACGTGTACAGTGTACAGCGATGAGATACGATGGTTCTGTAGAGTGTCCCGAATGCAACGACTGCTAAGATTCCTTTTCGGTTAAAATACTGCCCAGAGAGAGAGGTGCCTTTGAAGGCAGTGACTAGTTAGGCAGCTGCCTCCAGAATGGACCGCACTAACAGTGTGTGCATCTGACAGAAAGACTGTGTGCGCGCATGTGTGTGTGTGTAAGAAAACCTTGTCATGTAACATCCAGCCCAGGTACTTGAGGTATCCATCATTAAGGAAGGCAGCAGGATATTCTTTCAGCCACTCTCTCATCTCTGCCATACAGATGGCACGAATCTCTGGAACTTTGTCTCTATAGCGATGCACAAACACTCCCTTAAAGATTGCATTTGTCAGAGAACGCAGCTCTTCCTGATGCTCCAGAAGCTGCACACAGAACATACGAAAAATAATATTATTTAACAGCTTGTGTTTTATCATAGCTTCCTACAGTAAAATGTGAAAAGGAGCTGATATTATGCCTACATGTGCCTGATGACCACAGCAGATCAAGGGGGAAAAAATAAATAAATAAATAAATAATCACACACCAAATATTTATGGCATTGGTGCCTCATAATATATCACAGTAAAAACTTAATCCAATTTACAAAGCTCCTGTTACATTTTTATTTAACAAAGGTTTCGTTTCATTTTATTCGATCAAAAGAGTGACCACTCTTTTGTACACTGCCTTACTATTTTATTATATAACCTCATTGCATGAATTCTGCAGCTCCTCCAGCCTCTCTGGGGCCCTTTGTTGAGCACTCTTGCTTTTCTCCAGCTGAAAACGTCTCTGCGTCACCTCTATCTGTCCATACACCACTGCAGCCACCTCTACTACAGCGGACATCAGATGCATTGCTACACAGACACACAAAAAACATACAACAAAAAACAAAGCAGCTATTTCAGGTATAGCGACCACTGAACACTACCAAAGTACACTGAAGTATAAATAATCAGTGCCCTATTAGTGTTCAACATGAAGTCATTGTTCTAAACAGAGTTTATAATGTCTTAAACATACTGCTTTTGAAGTCATTCATCAAATATAAATAAGCAGATCTTCTTTGAAGGAAGATAATTTAATTTAACATTTTAAATAAAAAAACTGTAAATATGAGCTATATATTCTTAAGTCATGTCATAAAATATTATGCTTCAAACAATACATATTAGGAGTGCAACGATTAATCGGCTTAGTCGACGACAAAATTAGTTGGCAACTAATTTATTAGCCGATTAGTTGGTGACGTCATCACACGTTTCTTGCTTACTAGAGAGTTAACAAAAGCGCGACAGCAGCCTCAAAAACAAAGTGTGGGAAGCATTTCATGCTTAACTCCGAAAAAAAAGGTTGTCAGTTGTGCTATTTGTAAAGCCGACCTTAGCCGGTATGGGCTCACATCGTCCATGCTGAAGCATCTGAAGAGGAAACACGTTGGCTCACTGGATGAAGATGGTTTACCTCGGTAAGACAGTTTTGTAACATTTGAATAAAAAATAAATAAATAAAATTATTTTAAAAATCTTACCAATGAGTGTGCTGGTGTGTCTGAAAGCTCGGACCTGTGAATCTGCCAGACCAGTGAGGAACGCAACCAAAGCAGAAAACAGAAATTCATCGTACAAGAGGCTGTTCTGGCAGCGCTGCACCAACAAAGACACAAATTCACACAACCCTTCACGAAACCGCCGACCCAGTGAACCGCCTGCCACCACAGGGTAACTTCCAGAGTCCTGCAGGTGAGAAAACACATCACTTCTTATCTCTTCCATTAAGAAGCCAATACATAACATAACAAAGCAAGAACAAAATAGTCAAACTTTGGACTGTAACTGGAAGCAACAGTAAGGTTATTCTCTATCCTTTCTTCTCTGCCTTATGTGTAACACATTTAACAACTTGTGTTTGTACTCATTCAGAATCACCACCTAAGGGCAACTAACTATAAACCAAACAACATCCATTTTTATTATTAAATGAAAACACTAATAAAATGAGAGAAAGTTATGTTTATACTTTCACCGCAAGCATAACCAAAATAAAGAAAATACAGCGGTGAATACATAGCACTGGGCTTCATGTGTGTGGGAAGTGAAAACAAGTAACTAGCGCTGCATGCTGTTTGCTATGGGTTTTTTTTTTAATGACGTTTTAAAACCCAATACTTTACACAGTCACTTGGAGACTGAACACAGCGAATATTTCCCTAAACCTGTCGAATTGAGGCAGAACTCAAAGCCGCAAAAAGAATAGTTTGCAGCTTTTCTCTCTAGCCTGACATCCAGCACTCGGTAGCTGCTAAACAAGATCAGCCAACGCTAGGGCGAGTCAGAAAAAGACAATCTGATTGGTTAAGTCTTGTGGCCTCTGGATGCTTTTATTGTCCTTTGTGTGGGCCCTCAACTGCAAAAGGTCAGAATCCCCTGATGCAGAGAAAGGACTGTAAGTCCACCTAACCCCAAGACTAAAACCAAATTCAAATGAGGTAGAGACCTGACTCAAGTACTACAACTCTACTCAAACAAGCAGATAAAAGTGGCACAAATCTGATTTTCTCACCAAATTCAATTTTTTTGTTTGGCCGTTCATGTTATCTTTTAAATGTGACCTGTATTCGACATAAGTCTGAACAGATCACGCTCCTAAACCGACCCACATGCTTAAAAGAACAGTGCTTCACATGGCGTGCTCGTCCAGAGGTAAACATGGAGCGATTACGAAGTTCCAATTGTTGACAGCTGGGCTCATCACCCAGAATGTGTTCGAGTTCACCGTACAAAGGGCACGTTATCCAGCCTCGGCCACTTCTTTGGTTTGTGTCCTCGGATTCTTTTAAGCTTTTTTTGACGCTGCAGCCTTGGTCTCCTCTGGCCATGTTCGGCCGTTTTGTTCGAAATCTCTTCGAACATGGAGCGGTTGTGATAAGTCTCTTCTAATTTTTTGGTACAGAAACATCAGCCTAAATGTTTATGAGTCTCAGCAGCACATATGACGAATGTTGAGTTGGACTGACGTAAAAGTCACATGAATTCCAATCTGGCTGTTCAGACTGAGTCACATTGCCGCAGATCAAATTTGTATCAGATTTCAGTACCACATATGAAAGCGTCTCAAATCGGAATTGAAAATCAGATTCAATGCGTTTTTGCTATTCACACTGACACACAAATGAAAAGATTCGGATTTGGGCCACTTTTACCTGCTGTGTGAACAAAGCCTAAGTGTGTCCAGGAGAAATCTGGAATCAAACTGCCAATCGAAATGGTTTTAAACAATGTGCTTAGGAACCTAACACTTTTGCACAGTATGGTACATACTACTTTGTTTATGTAGGCAGTGAAGCTTGCCAAGTTGTTAACTTGCTGTCTTGCTGGAGGAGAGAGATATTCTTACCTGCAGCATTAAGATTTCTGTTTGTTACCTTCACTAACAACAACATTCATACCCATAATCAATGTAGAGATCCTCAGCTCTACTCACCTCATTAAACTCTTTAGTCAGGTGACCAATGATGTCAGCATTTTGCATCGTAGCAAACATCTCCCTTGTCACCAAACCTAAAATAGAACAGCATTTTCATTTTTAATGACCAAATTAAAAAAACAAAAAGACAAAATTGTACAAAAAATGCAAAACAAAAAGGTGTGATATCGGGGCGATGGTGGTAACTTTAAGGTCGGTGTTATCATTTTTCCCCTTCACAAGTCACAGACAACCTTAAGCCTGTTATAATTAACAGAAAAGGATGTGTTGGGAAGTCTGTTATGTATGTTATGTCTGTTATGTATGTGATTCTGGCACAATAAAACAAAATTAATCTCACACATTATTTCAGTATATCAATATCAGTATTGGTACTAATACTGGCACCCTAACCCAGTATTGGCATCGGCAATGGGAACAACACTGACCAATACTACAAAGCAATTTCTGACGCGAGCCAGTAGACTGAACACGTTGGCAGTGTGGGTTGACAAGCAGCAGTAAAAATACTCAGGGCAAAATCTGTAATTCCAGGATGTGGAAAGGCAGACGTAGTGGGTGATATACCATTGGGAATATTGGTATGGTTGTCACACATACACCATATAATGGAACACACCAACAGTTAAAAACACGCTAACCTTACCTAAATGGCTGAGCTAGGCTTCTTTCAGTAATCGCTCAGTGCAGTCAGCTACAGTCTGAGTTAATGTAATCCAGGTTGTTATTGAGGGAGCAAACATTAAAGATAGGTATGGAACGAACCACCAGCCCGCCATCCACGCTTGTGCGTCCACTAGCCCCGTCTGCAGTCAACCTCCGTCAGTCAGTTGCATCACAGATCAGTTTTCTCAATACATTGTTTCATTTCGTTTTATTTCATTTATCTATATGTTGTTTATTTCTCTTTTTAACTACTTTGCACAATAAAAATATTCTGTATTTACTTTAGTTGCTAAATTTGCCTCTTATTGCTAATTGCATTATAATAAATAGTAAGGTAGGGTAAATAGGTTAAACAGAGTTAGTGTTGATATATGTACTCTGTATCAGCCAAGGTATCTGTATTGGAAGGGAAAAAGTGGTATCAGTGCATCTAATTACTGAATTTACAATTAACAGAAAATACACAGGGGCCCAGTTCAGAATCTCAGTAAAAAGTTTAAGACCTACCTTTGCAGCCACAGCACTGAACTACAAAATTAAAGAGTTCACGAAGTCCCTCCTCCCGGTCCTGCTTATAATCATCAAGCCAATCATCAACCACTGTCTGGAACAGACAGTAATAAACTATTAACCATTTTTTCCATTTGAATATCTGCCTTTTCAAATGGCAGACTGTGTTTTCATCTCCTACTCACCCAACGTTACAGATACGTGCTTCTTTGTCACTGGTTTATCAATTTCAGTTTAACCACTAAGATCGCTGATGCTCGTAAACAATGAGCTGAAATCAAAACACGGATCTTCACTATTACATTAAGGCTTAAAAACGACAGACAAGCCTCAAAATAAACAATTTAAGGAACAACATGAGGGCAAATCAGAGTCTGTAAAGCGTTAGATGTTAAAACAGGCAGATTATGCTCACTGTACGGCACTGAAAGTGCTTCTTGATAAGAAGGAAAGCAAGCTCTACTAATGAATTCCCTCGTTTGATCAAAAAATGCATTTCCATCAGCAGTAAACTGAATCCGGGTTTGTTTGGAAGCGGACTGAGAAAAGGTGACTGGTCTTCACCAGTCAAGGAAAGCACCCTGAGGAGCTTCTTTAACTCTGGCGAACACCCGTGTCTGCGTTGCCTCGTAGGTGTAAGTAGCCTGCTGTGTTTTTATTTATACATCTGTATTAATATTTATACTGCTAGTATATTTGATGTTTGATTCTTAGATTTTTTATTTATTAATTTTATCTTTTTCACAATTATATTTTCACGACTTACTGACCTAGTCCAAACTACTGCGTCATGTACATACTACATGCATGGGGCTGCAGACCACTGGAGGGTGCTTCACGCTCCACTGGTGGTCCCCCCCCACAGGTTGAGAAATTGTGATCTGAGAACTTTTAAGTCATATCCCATTCTGCTTGCGTTGCTTAGGTGTGGGCCAAGCCTAAAACAGGCAAATTTGCCTTTGCAATTACAGGCCCATAAAGAATAGTGTACGGGGATTTAAGCAGCCTCAGTTCTTACGCAATTATGTAGGCTTATTATTTGGCCAAGCTTTCAATTACTTGCATTACTGTTTCCTGCTTTCTGATTGCATTTGCTTTTTAACGAGTGCTTCCTTTCATTACCTGAATCACCTAGAGATTCTACAGAGTTTGGTGCTGCAGGTTTACTGTAACTATTGATATTACACTTGGAGTAGTTAGAAGTTCAATTTCATCTGGTCAGTGTAATTCAGAGAAAAAGCAAGTGTCATAAACAGGCACTTCAACTATTTTGTATACATGGTGTACATTGCTGTTGTGGAAACAAAACCTTATATCTCCAGAGTCATAATTTTACAGGAGAAGGGGGAGAAAAAAAAAAAGCGCCACTTTCTTTACTTTTAATGTTAGTCAATGTAACCAGATTTTTTTGCAAGTCATTGTGGGCCGTTTCTTCTGGTTCTTTCATCATGAAATTTACACACACAATGTAAAGTAGTGATTCCCAAACTTTTTACAGTCCAGCACCCCTTCAGACATTAAACCACCCGCTGCGTATCCCCTCTCACTGCTTATACATACAAGCGTACAGATTTCCATGATGCATAGGTAAGACATTTAACCTTATAAAATCAGTACCCCTTAAAATATCAAACACATTTATGACAATGACACTTCACATCAGATTTACTAAATAATACTGAAAAATAATAATATTTACAAGTGAAGACACATGCAATTGTAAGACAGCATGTGGCTGTAAAATGAACAGTGAATAACAAAATGTTTACTAACATGTCCAACAGGTTACACAGTAACATCATCTGTTTAGGCTGAAAATAACCCAAAATAACCACTACAGCCTCTACAAACTTTAATGTGTTAAAATATAAACCTTTACAGTTGTACAGGTTGTGCACTTTTTTGACACTCCCTTAAACAGTAACACATCAGTGTTTTGTTGTTCGGGCCTTTCTGTTCAGCAAAATCTACAGAAGAATATTTGTAAAATATATTTGGTTGTAGTTCGTCTTCTGTATTCCCAAGAAGGATAAAATATAGGTTTGGTCATTTTTGCATGTTTGTTTCACAAGAAACTGAAGAGAGAAATCTGAATATCCAGTGAATGTCCAATATGTGCTCATTTAGTTTCAACACACCTTCAGCTTCAACACACAACCCAAATGATAACAGCAAAGCACTAATCACAGCAGCTACAAACAGGTGTCTCACCACAACCATGTCTGTGAAAGTTAAACTAACTTGCAAACACAACTAACCAGGATCATACCAGCCTTAACAACAGCTGATACGCTCGAATTAATTTTTCTGATGGATTACTTAAATTAACTGTAATAGTTTAACAATGCGTGACATGTAGAGGCAACCGGAGTGAAATGCCTTCTCTAAGACAGCTTTAAAACACGATTAATATTGAATAAAGAGCAAAATAAGAATTGAAGCAGAGGTTTGTCATGTGCTGCATGTTATAAATATTCCACTCACTCATCACTCATGCATACAAGCTGTCCACCCCTCAGTTTGGGAGCCACTAACTTAAAGCAACACTATGTAGGATTTGAGGATTTGCAGACCTCTCTGGTGAAAATATACAATTGCACGCAACGTATGGAAGAACATTTTGTCGGTTGTGCTTCGGATCCCCGCAAGCGGATCAATCTGACTTCTGCCAGTGCGTTGAAAGAATATTCGAAGACAACTCAGTCAATACTTTATGAAGGATGTGTCTTCTGAGGATGAGTGAATTATCCACTATTGTCATTCACTATTAGGGGTGGGAATCTCTAGGCACCTCACGATTTGATCATGATTCAGAGGGCTGCAAAGTGATTCTAGAACGATTATCGATGCATCTTGCTGCATGTTTTTCTATACATGTATGTTCTATAAAGGATTTCTTTTTTCTTACTCTGTGACGACTTCTAAGCAAAAAATTTGTAATGATCCATAATTAATTTACTGCCATTATCATTAATTAATAAAACAAACAAAAACAATGTGGCTAGTCAACTGGAAGGCTCTCATTCACCGCTCTTGTTTGAAGCACGAGATGCTAGCTGCTCATCTTTGTTAAAATGCGCAGTTACGGTGACATAACATTCTGTAGCAACGGACGTCCACGCATGACATGTTACAACTATCCTACCCGTTCTCTTCAGAGATTCCATAACTTTAGTTTTGCCTCTTGCGTCTTTATGTGCGTGCCACAGACTGTCTGTGCACTGCACTTCCTCCTTTCGCGTTCCGTGAATGTTACGTTATTTAAAATTTTAAAAATAGATTTTTGACATTTGTGAATTGATTCAGAATCGTCCACGCCGCATCACCATGCATCTAAGAATCGAATCCCCACCCCACCCCTAAATATTATAATGTTGATTTTGCACTTGAGACCTAATCATTGAGTCGGACCTACTTTTTAAGCCTGGGTGTGTGACATTAATACTTGAAGACGAATGACTCCTTCCAAATCCATCCCCATAGCTTTGACTTTTAAATGATTGTTTTAAGCCTTACATGGTGACTTGTAGCCACGCACGCACACCATAATTCACTGTGCTCTGTTTTCTCCATATTCAGTAATGCTACTTTTTTCCTTTTCAACAAAAAAAAAAAATATTACACAGTGCTGCTTTCACACCTTAATTCAGTGAACTTCAAAAGAATGTAGAGGAGCTAAAGAAATTTTTCACAACAGCTCATAATACATCATGATTTTCCTTTTCTCTGTCTTACCACTATTGCGCTGCGGCCAGAAATCACAGCCTCATACATGTGCCTTACAGTAGACTGGTTCCTTTCGCTTTCACTCCTCTTCCCTCTATATTTCTTTCCTGTTTCAGCTGCAGGCGTGGGAGGGGCTCCAGATGTGCCAGGCTCGGTAGTACTGGAGCTGGTGGTGGAATGAATCACTGTTCTCTGACGAAGTCTTTTGGGAGACTGTGGAGAAGAGGGTATCAAATTTCAAACAAGCTTAGTTGCAAATGTGCCTAGCACAAGTATATGGTAAGTCTACACTGTCTGCCTGTACTGCGTGAGAGAGCAAACCAGCACACACTGCTGTTTCCAATGCTGTGTCCAATTTTCTCTTTGTGACCCTCAGGTAGAGCTTGAAGTCAGTGTCTGAGACATCATCCAGTTCCTCAGGACTACTACTGCCACATAACAGAGAAACACATCCAGCTTGTGAAACCAATTGCAATCTATTTTCCTGTGCTATTGTGGTTGTGCAGGAAAACCTATGGGAACTGCTATGCTTTTCAGTATTTTTGCCAAATTAAAACTCTCAAACGGTGGTGACACTGATTGTTTATACCTTCCAGTCCCACCTTTTAATTGCAAGAAATGCTTAACTCAGATCCTCCTCATTGTTAATAGATGCAAAAATTAGCAGAGAAGAATCCTTTATGTTCAATTACAAAACTAATCAGACGTTGGCTTCTAGTTTATCAGAAACATAATAATTGAGGTGGTTCACTCCTAAATGCTGTATATTCATTTATAACAATTGTAAAGACAATCAGTTTTTGAACAATACTGAAGTATAACTAAAACTATTTTACTTTGTCAATAAAAAAAGTATTAATCATAATACAGCACTGATATTTACTGTATGTGTACAGCCCACACCCAACAATGTATATTATGAAAAAAAGCTGAACATGGTGTACTCTGCATTTTTGAACTAAACATTTGACAAAAAACTTGAGGTAGTATGGTAGTCTGTACAGACATCATGTCCTTTTCAAATTTCCTAGTTTCAAAAAATATAAAGGTTATACTGAAGGGGCTGGCTAACATGGTCATAATTAGCTCCGGGTGTGGAAGATATGTGAGGAAAATGTTAAAAACAGATTTACCTTTCCGGGTCAGACTCTCCTTGTTCCATGCTTTTCCCTTTGCCCATGAAAAACTGATAGACACAGTGGGTAGAGCTGCTTTAGCCAAATCAGGCAATGATCATACAACTTGGGCACTGTAAATGAGCAATGTGAATAATCAACAATTGATTATATATGTGGCTTGTACACCGATCAGGCATAACATTATGACCAGCTCCTTGTTTTTACGCTGTCCATTTTATCAGCTCCACGTACTATATAGCTGCACTTTGTAGTTCTACAATTACAGACTGTATTCCATCTGTTTCTCTGCATACTTAGTTAGCTCCCGTTTACCCTGTTCTTCAGTGGTCAGGACCCCCATGGACCCTCACAGAGCAGGTACTATTTGGGTGGTTGATCATTCTCAGCACTGCAGTAACACTGACGTGGTGGTGGTATGTTAGTGTGTGTTGTGCTGGTACGAGAGAATCAGACACAGCAGTGCTGCTGGAGTTTTAAAACACTGTCCACTCACTGTCCACTCTATTAGACACTTCTACCTTGTCAGTCCACCTTGTAGATGTGAAGTCAGAGATGATAGCTCATCTGCTGCTGCACAGTTTGTGTTGGTCATCCTCTAGTCCTTCATCAGTGGTCACAGGACGCTGTTGGCTGGATATTTTTGGTTGGTGGACTATTCAGTCCAGCAGTGACACTGAGGTGTTTAAAAGCTCCAGCAGCACTGCTGTGTCTGATCCAGTCAGACCAGCGCAACACCCACTAACACACCACCACCACATCAGTGTTACTGCAGTGCTGAGAATGATCCACCACCAAAATAGCACCTGGTCTGTAAGGGTGCATGGGGGTCCTGAGCACTGAAGAACAGGGTAAAAGGGGGCTAACAAAGTATGCAGAGAAACAGATGGACTACAGTATGTAATTGTAGAACTACAAAGAGAAAATAAAAAACTTGAAACGTTTTACAGTTAATTATCAACTTTTCTAGCTTTCCTAATGTAAAGTAATGAATCCCCTGAGTCCTCTTATCAACACTTGTCTCTGACTGTAAATAAGCTTAAGCCAAAACCTAAAGACTAAATGTTGAATAACATGATTTTAGGATTGAAAAATTACTTTTAACAACAGTAGTGAAGGATCATTCCCCACACAAAACATCCCCCAATAACAAACAATAAAAACATCCAACGTTACATGGTATTGGTAACTGGCAGTTTGTAGAAAGTTGGTTTATACTAGACATAAACTAGATTTTAAAATCTTCAAATTCTCTCAGAATAAACAGAGAAAAGATGAAACCTACATTTTCTCACTACTGAGAAGAGAACCAACAATAACCAAATATTTCATTGTTGAATTTCACTGAACTTAATGGTTCAGAAACAGAGAACACCAATGCTTTGTTGTATTTACCATGGATTTAGCTAAAAAAATATGAAAGAGTAGTTTGCTTTAAGCCTAATACAATCCCAGTTTTCAAACTATCCACACTTTACTTAATTTTAAGAGATATTTTACTGCCCTAACGCTACTGTCCCAAGCCTGATATACTTAAGAAATAAAACAAGAAAGGCCTCTTCTAAGCTTGCTGATACCCAAACTGTCCACTAGTTGAATTTAAATGAATATTTGTAAAACAAATAACACTTTTTCATTTGGTTTTTGACATTGTAAACAAAATGTTTGCCATATTTCATCTGTTGCACATCATCCATCTATTTAGGTACCTTTCTATTACTGACTGTCCTCAATTCTACAATAGCTGGAAACTGCAATGGCTTGTTCTGTTTAGTGTAGCCTATAAAAATAAAATGTTTCATATTTTCATTTTAATTCAAAAGGTTATCAAATGTGTATGACATTGCAGTTCTTGTTGCTTGCAGTTTCTTTTTGCCTTGGGATCATGGGCCCCATCATATTTAACGCTTACATTAGAATACAAAAAATAAATTAATAAAACGTGTTATGGGAGTGAGATAAATACAAATCCAATAACTTTTGCATTTAAATTTAACTGTGGTTTTCTTTGTCCAGGCGTTCCTCGTGTGACGTGTGACAGGGAGGCTAAAGAATACATTAAAAGCATTAAGTGTTTCGTAGTAGTGACAAAAAAGACCGACAGGGCCATCTAGCGACAACTTAAAACCGCCTGCAAATTATCGAAGGCCAAGTGTCAGCGGTTAACGTACCCAGCAGTTTATTACTGAGGCCACGCTGATTTCAATGCAATATTTAGCTACTATTATGTTCTAAATATTACGGAAGCTTTCGTGAAAATTGCTTTTAGGGTTTTGCCACCCAAAAACAGCTAAAATATGCCCTTTTCATTACCAAACTTCTCAGGAAACGAAGCTTGAATTATGCTGCTAGCGACCAAACGCTAACTCTATAGACTGACGTTAGCGAGCGGACATATTTCGATCGTTGCAAAAGCTCTAAAGGCTACAGATAAAACACAACGTTGCTTGAATTTACAGTCAAATTACCTGTGTACTAAGCTTTAGCCGTTCAGCGCACCTAACAAATTCAAACCACAGGGTGGCAACAGTTCAGCGTCCTAACCTGCCAATTAACGTTAAGTTAATGGACTTCAGAAATTCCCTAACACCGTTTACCAGGTAACGTTAGAAAACCGTTTATAAGAAACGGCAAAACTGGAAAACCATAACAGAGCGACCGCGTCAGCTAGCAGCTAGTTAGCTAAGTCACACTATTACTACAGTTTCTTAGTTGCTATCAATTTTATTAACATCATGCTGGGTAATTTACCTCACAGACAATCAGAAAATGAGCTACCTACACTTTAGCAACCGCTTTGGTGGTCACCTCTGCCCAGTTCTCCTTGCTAGCTGAGCCACCTGGTCCGCTTTTAACTTTTAAGCGCGAAAAAATTTGCAGTTGAGGTTTCTGATTGGAGAAAGGACCAAACACGCGTGGAATAGGATTGGTTTAGAACACACGTGCGAATCGATGATTGGTCTGTTTGTATGTTTCTACCCAGCAACAGAACCAGAGAAGATTGTGATTGGCTCTTTAAAGTGGGACACTGGCATAGCACGATTTTATTAAAATAAAAATAAAAACATTAAAATAAAATAAAATAAGTTAAATTCTTTTGATGCAAAAAGCCACACTACATACATTATGTGACACGGCTAAAATTCTCTATAAACCTAAACAGAACAATAAACCAAGTGTGCAGTCTAGTGTGTAGTCTACATTCAAATTAAACTAAGCTAATGGCAACTACAGGAAAAAAAATCGCAACGTAGGCTACAGAAATAAAAAATCAATATACATGGAGAATTTTTGTATAATCGCATCTTGGCAGCCTGAGTCAAAATCAAATTGAGCAGTGAGGCATCTAGAGAGATTCCCATTCCTAATCTTTATACCAGGAGTGTCAAACTGGGAGATTAGCATTTTCTTCTTGGAAAGCCATCAATAAGTGGTATGATGCCACGTATGATGATTAGGATCCCCAAATGTTCTGACTGTGGCCTTGCTCTTGTAACACTCTGAATTCAATTCACGAGGATCTTTCTAATAAGCTGATGGACTGAATCAGGTGTTTTAATTCAGGATACTGAAGCCTGCAGTGTTTTGCTTTATACATTTTTTTATACTGTAAACTCTCAGACATAAAGGTAGTAAACGGTCACTGGGGCAGTCTACCAAGCTTTCTCAGAGGTGATTATATGTATGTATGTGGTTTTAATGTTGTTGCTGTTTGCTGTCCTTTTTCACAGGCTTGTCAATCGGCTTGTCTGTCTCCCACTTTGAGCTCCGCCTTCACGAAGTGTTGGTTTGGTTTAAGAATCTCAGAAGTCTTTTTTCTTCCCAGCCTAACAAGACTTCATTCCTTCCCACATTTAGCTCAAAATTTCTCATGGCTGTCCTCAGACATGTATTCTCAGTATGAAATCATTCTGGCTCTGCGAAATTAATAGTTACCTGTATCACCACAGTGGATGACAAAAAAGCTCAGGGGGGAAAATACTGGTAATGTTTGAACAAATCATGATAAACAAAGAAAACAAAGGAATTTATAAAAATGTTTCATAACCCTTTTTATTAGCTGCTCTTGTAAAATATTGTTTCTTTTGTTCTCCTATTTGTGCATTTTAGTGCTGATGAACTATAGAAAGTGCAGACTGCAGAATCAGCACCAGCACCAAAGGCCACAGATAAATCTTACCACTCAACACACTCAGGTGCTCCAATAAACATGGATGTTTCCCTAATTCAGGCACAGGACATCACAATTACACTGACTTTAAGAAACTCTTGTTTTAGTAACTGCCAACTAGTGCATTCTTTGTAAATGAGTAAAAAAGAAATGATGTAACCAGGATACATTACTAAAGAAATGTTTCATGAAATCCAATTTGAAAAAACTTCATTTTTAGGACAGTCACAGCTATAAAAGTTTAAGAGCTAAGTAGTGAAAAAGTAGTATGGTGGGGTCTGCAGAACTGTAACTGAAAACCACAGAGTTTATTAAGTGCCTATTTTCATGAGTCTTGACTTTCAAAGAAGACATTTCAAACTAGCAAGCTTCAGTTTTGGTAGTAATAGTCTGTATGATCCTGCAAACACATCTTGAAACATGGACTAAGAGGGCAAAGCTTAGAGTCTGGGTCGCTGAGGCCGTATGTAACATTAACAACCCCTTTATCCCGGATTGCCATTATTATAGTTATTTGTCACTCATTGTTGATAAAACTGTATAATATTGATGCATAATACTGTTGTCACCATGTTTCTCTGTAGAAATGACATTCTTAGAAGTATGGGCATGTTTAGAATGATTTGAAATTACCCACCCACCCAGGTTTGGAAAAAAAAGAAAATGGAAAAAATAAAAAGCAAAAAAGCATTAATTAGTAATTAATTATTAATTTGTTTATTTTTGTTTGTAGTATTTTGTGTAATGGTTGCGTATTATATTTGCATTACATTCTTACGTTTTTGTTTTTTTAAATTAAGATGGTGGAAATCTTGGTGGTCATGTCATGTTGGTACAGGCAAGCGGGGTCAGAGGGGTCGCAGGTCTCCAAAAAGCCCAGAAACGGCTCTGCGTATGCTGCAGTACACTAAGTTTAGATGGTACATGCATGCTTAGGCTTAAGTGGAATGAATTTTAGATTACTGATAATCAAAAACATTATTCTTTATTATTTGAAGCAAATGCATAGTCTTGAGCTGGTGAGAAAGATTATGATTAAGTATTGGTCCATGCTGTTGATACCCGACCGTCCTCCCTCCCGCCCCCCCCCCTCTCTCTTTCTTTCTCTCTCTCTCTCTCTCTCTCTCTCTCATTGTTCTCTATCCCTCTGAGACAGTTCATCCTCCTGCTGTAGAGGGATCTGATCACTCCTTCTCTCTCTCTTTTCCTCTCAAACAAAGAGCAGCAGCGGCAGCCTTGAAGTTAGTGCTTTTTGCTTTATTTTTTCTTACAGCTAATTTGAACCAGCATCCAAGGAGAGATTTTTTCGAATTGTTCAACCCTTCTTCCAGCTATTAATTCCGTCTATCTAAAACTATCCCCGTTTCCCCGACTGCCAGGCTGGAGATGGACCTGCGGGTTTGCGGTGGTACCCCCGCGTGTCTCTATGCTCTGTTGTGGCTGACGGCGGTGTGGAGCTCCGCCACAGCTGCGCGGAGCTGCGCCGAGTCCCGCCGAGAGTATGAGGAGCGCGGCTACAGCGCGGCCAGTAGCCCGCTGTCCCCCATAAGCGGTAGGTACAGCACTGGGGTTAGCACTAAATTAGCATTAGCGTTAACACTACCACTAGCATTGATCCTGTTAACAGTAGCCGACCTCACTAAACACATGCACGCACTCAACGATTAGCCAACATCTCTGAAGTTAAACTATAAATGAAGTGATGTAGTTTGGACTACAGAATAACCAAAACAGTTCGTGCAGTGAGCAGCCAGTCCGAGTTTGGTCTCGTTCATAGACCTTTTTAAACATTTTAGACGTCTTTAGCAGGACGGGGCTCAACAAAGAACCTCGCCCACAATCAGCTACTCCATCAGCCTCCGTCTGCCTGCCTGTCTGTCTGTGTGTCTGTCAGTCCTTTTTTTCTCTCTACATCCGTCTGATTTTCCCATCTCTGTGTTTAAAGGGAGTAAATGTAGGCAGCAGCAACTCACCTGTGTTTTTTTAGTAAAACTACATGTACACGTTGGCAAAACAATAATAAAATAAAATAAAATCAGGTGCATGCTGAAAAAAGACTTCTAGAACTTGGAGTGGGCATTATGACTGTGTTTATTATTAATGGGTTAGTAATGTCACCACAATACGCTTGTCTGAGTGCATTGTAATATCATCAGTACTCAAGGAACACTGATCAGTGGCATGCTTTATTTAGTACAGGGCTGAATAAAATAATTGCATTTATAGTTTTAATAGTATTTTACAAAATATAGTATGATGCATACAGGGTATTGTTAAAATTGTGAAAAATGTGAAATGTAATTTTTTTGCCATATCTCCTTCCACTAATTAGCACTGGATTAAAACCTTATGGTTTTGCTTCCTAATAGGAATGGACGTAGTGGTTAACAGTACTTAGAGAGTACTATATTCCTGTGGAGCACCTTTAGGTCCCAAAAGAAACCAGCAAATGTGTCTAGAAACAGTCACTCTCTGTTAAACCACAAGGATTCTTTACATTGTGATATCAACCCATTAGGCAATTATTAAATACCATGACTAAGCATTAGACGTCATTACAATAGTACTAAGAACCAGCAGAAATCTTTCTGTGATTTTTTTTTTCAGCAGGGGTGTCATTGCATTTGTGTGGAAGAGAGGAAGTTTGTGTGTGTTGTGTGTGTGTGTGTGTGTGTGTGTGTGTGTGTGTGTGTGTGAGGGTTTGGCTGCTGTGTCCTGGGGCAGCAGATGGTGGAAAGAGGGATGATGAGAGTCCATTCATTAATGGAGAAGAGAACAAAAGGAGGACTTGAAAGGTGTGAATAGAATTTGAGATGAGACTAACGAAGGTGTGTGTATGAAGGTGTGTGTGTGTGTGTGTGTGTGTGTGTGAAAGAGAGTACATGTGCTGTGTATATTGATTATTACTCGGCTGGATCGGTGTGTCTTAATGTTTTGAGAAATTTCTTTTTGATTATTTTTTGGAAAACTTTCATATTTTTTAAAGTCAACCTGACATCAAAATGGATCTTTTTTTACCTTATCAGTCCCTGTCCCTGTCGCTGTTCATGTTAAGCATGAGTCATCATGCTAGGCCTGTGCAGAGATGACAGTTAATTGAGTTACCACAGTAGCAGCCCCCCCATTAAGTTATTTAAAATATTTGCTGTTCATATATTCACTTCAGATTTACACACTTAATGTCTTTTAACTTTACACTACAAACATATGTATTTATTAGCACAAACAAATACGTTTAATAAAGAAGATTGGCAGGGTAAAAAGTGTTTAGTCATCACAAATTAATATCATTAGCACTCTGTTGCATAGCTGTTGTTGACAGCTACAGCTTTGAGACATCTACTGTAAGAAGTAATTTGCTCTTTACAACTTTGTGTTTCGTTTTTTTTGTTTCAGTGCTATTTTTGTATTGTCTAACCAGAGTATATTTTTCCAAAAGAGTTCTGATTTGTCCAAATGCTTGTGCAAATTTTATGTGCACATCTCTATGCTTTCTTTTTTAAGCAGAAGTGTTTTGTGTGGGTTGTAGGAACAGAGGTGATTCCTGTGCTTTCAGGTCATCCTGCAGCTCTCTTTAATTGATTGCTGGCTTTGTTAGTGTAAGAGGGTGTTGTAAAATCTTGCATCTGTCCAGGAACGATTAGTTCCATGGTTCCATGAACTTTCCACTGGCCTATTATGAAATTAGTTGTAATGACAGGGATGTTTAAGCTCTTTGCTATGGCTCTGTAACTGTACATTTTCATTGAATGGTTGTTTAATAATGTTGTCCCTAAAAGCTTTAGGAAGCTCCTTCACCTTCACCATGATTGCTACTTATGTAAAATCTTCCCAACCAATGGCAACATCTTTTATGATGACACCAGGTGCAGTTTATTTTTGGCAGGATTAACATCTAAAAATTGATTTATTGTTTTGTAACCTTTACATACACAATATCCCAAAAACATGTGGAGACACCTAATTACTGAGTTTAGATGTTTCAGCCACATCCATCGCTAACAGAGTGTAAAGTCAAGTACATAGCCATGCACTCTTGATAGATAAACATTAGCAGTAGAATGGGTTATACTGAAGAGTTCAGTGACTTTGGCTCAGTGCTGCTGTTATAGGATGCCACCTTTGCCACAAGCCAGTTTGTGAAATTTCTGCCCTGCTGTATCTGTCATAGTCAACTGTAAGTGTTATTATTATGAAATGGAAGCCTTTGGGTTCAACAACAGTTCAGCCACAAAGCAGTGAACCACGCAAAGCATCAGCTGAAGTGGTGTAAAGCACGGCGCCACTGGACCATGGAGCAATGGAAATGTGTAATATCTGGAGTGATGAATCATGCATCACTATGTGGCAGTTTGATGGATGAACCTGTCAGATGCCAGGAGAACGCTGTCTACTGGAATAAATAGTGCCAACAGTAAACTTTGATGGAGGAGGGACAATGGTCTGGGGCTGTTTCTCAGGGTTTGTTAATGCTAGAACATACAAAGACATTTTAGACAGTTAAATTGTAGCATCCTGCCACTGGCTGCACTGCCTCTGAGAAGGTCAAGAGGCATGGCCATAAAGAGACATGTAAGGATGCCTCCCTACGCCGATGCCACAGTATGCTTCCAACTTCGTGGCAACAGTTTGGGAAAGGCCCTTTCCTGTTCCAGCATGACTGTGCCCCTGTGCACAATGCAAGGTCCATAAAGACATGAATTGTTTGCTGTGGAGGAACTCCAGTGACCTGCACAGAGCCCTGGCTTTAATCTCAGTGAAAACCTTTGGGATAAATTGGAACGTTGATTGCAAACTACTCAATCAATCAATGCCACACCTCACAAATGCTCTTTTAATTGAATGGGCACAAATTCCCACTGACAATCCATCTTGTGGAATGCCTTCCCATAAGAGCAGAGGTGAGGCTGTTACAGCCGCAAAGGAGGGACAACTCCGTTTAATGCCTGGAGTTTTGGAATGGGATGTCCAACAAGATCAAATAAGTGTAATGGTCAAGTGTCAATTGCTCATGTGCAAGAGCTTCATTTATGATCTTTGTTTTCCATGCTTCCTCAGCTTTCTTTAAATCACACCAAAGATTTTTAATGGGATTTAAAAGCCAGCGACAAGGGTTGAATAGTTATGACATGGCTGTATTCATACATCTTCACTATAAACTTGAATAGATCACTTAACTGCTACCCAGGTAATTTTCTGGGTCTTCATAAAAGCTTGAATTTGTAATCCTTACAGTCTTAGGGGAGGATTAATCATTTTGAGCACAACTGTATTTGTTGTCTGGAATAGGCCACTGTGTAATTTCTCTGCTCTGTGATTGCTCGGGGTATAGTCAAATTCTGCTTTATTGTCATTTCTTCTCATCACAGATATGTTGTGATATGAACAAAATGTAGTTTTTTCCAGGACAGTGTGCTACATTTAATATAACACAGCAGCAGACAGACAATAAACTCAATAAACATATACAATAAATACAGACAACCTATGCAAACACTGTACAGCGAATCTTTTCTACAGTATACAATAATTACAACTATTCAAACAATAAGCACATAATCATAGAGAAAATAGACCAGCTTTTGGTCTGCAGCCTAATAGTTGTTAGGGGTGCAAATCACAATTTTCATCTCAATGCGATCCTACATTGACTCTTTCAGCTAATGATTCAGTGATTGTTGGTATCTCTGAATTTGCTGTGATGCAATTTGGTTTAATACTGAGGTCTGCAGTTGATATGAAATGATAATGTGGCGTAAGAGCACGCCTTAGTTGATTCAGTTTAGTGATTCTGTTTAGTAGTAGTTATTAAGCATTTTGTTGTAGGGACTCTTATTTTGATTGGCTGCTGTGTATTATCTCTGCTTTATGATTGGCTGTTGTGTAATATATGTGCCCTGTGATTGGTAGGGGAGCACTTGCGGCTCTGTCCTCAGGACTACACCTGCTGCTCCAGTTTGATGGAGGAGACGCTGGCACACCAGAGTGAGGCTGACTTCCTGTCTGCAGTTGAGGACAACAGTCAGTTCCTGTTGACGAGTTTCACTCAGAGGCACCGCAAATTTGATGGTGAGCTTCTCATTCTGCAAATCCAAATAATCTAAAATTCTTTTGCTGTTTTTTTTCAGTTATTTACCCCAATTTTTACACAAAACCATAAAACATTCACTTACCCATAAACATAAGTACAGTAAAAAAGTAACAATTCTTAGAGATTTTGTGAACTGGTAAGAAGAACACAGATTTGGTTCCAGATGTCTCCTAGATGACCCCAGCCATCACATAGACTTATTAAATTCCATCAGCAGCACACTTGTTTTAGTTGAATGAGGACCTGATTATCCGAACAAATACAAATACTACTGGGCTTCCTCCAGGAGAGGTTTGGAAATCGTTAAGCAAACACATCTGTATACATAAAATAATATACTTATTCTATTAAAGTTTTTTACTTTTATTCTAATAGTAATGTTTTAGTGAGCAAATAAATGCTCACTGCTCAATTAAATAACTCTTTACCTGTAATTTTCTGTAGTGCCTAAAACATTTGCACAGTACTGTATAAATATATTTTTTCAGCAATATGTTGCTGTGCTTGTCGCTGTGTTGATGACTCTGTTGTCTCATAAGGCTTGCCGTTCTTTCTGTGATGTCAGAGTTTTTTCGGGAGCTGATTGATGTGGCAGAGAAGGCAATGAATCAGATGTTCACCAAGACGTATGGCCGCCTTTACACGCAGAACGCACAGCTCTTCCAGCAGCTTTTCACAGAGCTGCAACGTTACTACTCAGGTTGGAACGTGTGTTGCATGTGTGTCTCCGTGTACGTGTAATGGCAGAAATTAATTTCCTCCTCAATTTGTACTTTAATCACATAAAACTGTAACTAATTGAAAACAAAACATGATATTTCTGTGCCTAAACGTGGGCTGACCCACTATCAAGGTGGGGGCCGTTGGTTCAGCTCCTAAATTACTACAGATATGCACTTGGATGTTACATTTATAGTTTGCCTAGACGTTCTTGTCTTATATGTGTGAGTTTATACTTTTAGCCAGCCCAAAACGCTGCCAACCCACTGGGACTTTCCCGATTACTCCCTGTGGCACTGGATGCACAAGTAGGGATGCACTGAAATTTTGGCTGGCAAACATTTTTTGTGAAAACTGAAAGTGCCACTTTTGACTATTTTTGAAAGAGTAAAAAAACCTGAAAAGTTTGGGTGAAAAAAGCTCAAGTTTTAATAGGTCAAGAATTAAGCACCCTTAACAAATAATTTAAATGGTAAAGAAAATGATAATAAAGATTAAACACGCTGCTTGAGCAGCACCAAATAAACAGTAAAACAAACATGTTTGCAGCTGCGTTCTATATGGTCTTTAGCCTACGTAACTTTCAGCATGAACTGATTTAATAAAGATATTTAATCAAAATTACATACGTTATACTAAATAACTCAACACCTTTTATTAATAAAGTTTTTACCTCTGGTTTTAAACATTTTTACTGTGTTAATTAGATCCGTCTGAGATTTATGGCTGTTTCTTCTCTGAAAGACTAACACTAAAGCTCATAGCTCCCCCTGCAGGAGAAAAGTCAGACTGCTGGGCAGTAGGTCTTTAAACATTAAAAATAGAGGTGTTTTCCATCTTTAGTAGAGGCGCTCTGGAATTCAGCTTTGTAAACCTTTGGGAAACCATGAAGTAGTATTATTAACTTTTATTACTAAATATTACTTATCAAGCTGTTTAAAATGCTCTTAGTCCTCCAGATCTCTCAGTTCTCTTTGCCAGGATGGCGTTGATATGAAAACAGAAATTATATATAGAAGAACACTTTCTTTCAGTCTTAACCTTAATGTGTCCTTGTATGAATATGAATTTTAGTTTCGGGTTTCGAAGAACTAAATTTTCCTTTTGATACATCACTAGTCTCAGGGGCCTTGAGGCCCAGTTTAGGAACAACTACTGTAAAGGATTTGTCTACCAAAAGTGCTTTATGTGCCAGTGTATGTGCTAAAAAGTGTAGTTTGGCAAAAAGCAAAAAACAAATTTACCCAGTTTTTCCCTTTCCCAAATCGTCCATTAGCCAAAGCTTGTTTGGTGCCTGGAGTTTGTTTTTTTTTTTCATTTTGTGCTGGAGCTACGAGGCTAATGTAGCTAACAAGTAATGAAAGCTAATAATTCACAGAATAGCTTCATGCTAACTGCATGCTCCCTCACATACTTTGCTCAATTTGAGCTGTTAAAAATGGAATTTAGTTCACTTCAGTTGTATATTTTCTGTGTAGGAGGAGGTGTGAGTCTATCTGAGGTGCTGTCTGATTTCTGGGCGGGGCTGGTGGAGAGGGTATTTTCTCTGGTGAATCCTCAGTATCAGTTTGGTCAGGACTATCTGGAGTGTGTGAGCAAACACGCGGAGCAACTCCAGCCTTTTGGAGACCTGCCACGCAAACTACGCGTACAGGTAACGTACACAGACTCAAACCATACCTCACAGTCTGTATACACACACACACCTGTGATTGTAGAAAGTATTCGATTGGCATCGCACTTGTCGCCCAGCCATACAGGGCTTAGAAATGGATGTCACGTCCTGCTGCATTATGTAATGTTTCAGCCATATTGGCAGGGTTTGTTCTTTGTTTACATGCAGCAAACTCACTCACTGCTAGAGCTTAAAGAGAGAGCTGTTTTAATGTGTTTTTCTTCAGGCTTGTCATGCCTTATATTGAAACAAATTAAATGAGAGTACATCCTGACCAATCTCAGAGAAATGCCAAACAACTACATAATGATAAAATGAGCTTTATTGACAGTCTGAATGCACACAAACGTCCAAACAATGACTGGAGTAGTAATCTGCATATGTTAATGTTAACTGCTCTTACATACACAGAATTTTACTAGCTGCACTGCAAAAAAATGGTATCTTGTCAAGTACAATGATCTACAATCTAGTCAATATATCTAATATTTCAAAATTTTAGATGGATGTAAAAATATTTTAAGATCATATAAAGTATTTCTAGACATTTTTTACCTTTCCTAAGTATTTTTATCCAGTAAAACTATCTTACTATATTGGCAGATACATTTGCTTATTTCAAGCACATCTCTTAAAACAAGCCAAATGATCTACCAATATAGTGTGGTAATTTCACTTCATAAAATCACCTTAAACAAGCAAAAATGTCTAGAAATATAGAAAATAATCTTATGACAAGCTTCAACAACCAACAAACAACAATCAAAACAATAACAATCTCAACATGTGAAAATATATTGACTGTATGTAAGATAATTTCACTTACCAAGATATAATTTTTTGCATTGTGGTGTTAGGCTTAAGTGTCTGTTCCTTTAAGTAGGTCAAAGTTTTCATCTGCCACTGGCAGATTTAACTCAGTTAACTGACTGACCTATTTCACATGTCCAGTCTCAAATTTACCGCAGTTACTACCATATTTTACTTAGCTGTCGGCGAGTTTAGCTCAGTTTCTTCTGTATTTCACTCAGCCACTGGCTGATTTAACATTATTCCCTCAGCCAATGGCATATTTAAAAAGAGAGGTTTCATAAGGTTTTTGATTAGACTGGCATAGTTCACTTTATTTTGGTATATTCCACTGTAAGTAGCTTTTAAGCAAACCCTGCTGTTGCCTGGCTAGTTAGCAAACTAATGACACTATTGCTGTACTGTACAATATTAAGTCCATATTAGATCACATGAATCTTACACTAAAGAAACAGTCAGCCTAAAGTATGTAAGAAAAACATGTAAGTAAACGCTAATCATCTGGCAGCTCAGCTAAAGTTACTAGCTCAGTCACAGCTTGGTTTACTTCACCTCGTATCTTTTAGTTGGAAAACAACACGTTTTGAAAGGTAAAACATTAGGTGGTAATATCACTGCACACTCTCTCTCTCTGTCTCTCTCTCTTTCTCTCTCTCTTTATCTCTCCAGCTTTCCCGTGCATTCATTGCTGCAAGGGCTCTGGTCCAGGGTCTGGCCACTGGCCGAGACATTGTTAATAAAGCAGCCAAGGTGAGTGTATGACGGTATCACATTCGTCTTAACCCCAATCCTAAGGTATGTGGCATTCCAATGTGTACATATATACTATGTTCACACTTTTTTTTTTTCAAGTCAAGGACAGAATAGCTGATATTTATCAGTTGTCTCAGAATTCCTCACGCTAGTCCAGAAGTCACCAGTCTTATCCACAAGGGTCAGTCTTCAAACAACTGGCTAAGCTTTATACACATTACATGAATTTTAAAGCCCTAACAGAATGTAAAAGGACTGGTATCTCACACTTTCCGATGAGATTTTTTATATTGGGGCCTCACACTAAACGGAATTACAAACTACAGCAACTTTACAGTTGTTGCTGATCTGAGCTGAACTAACTGAACTTGCACAAACTCACATGCTGTCATGCTGCAAATTATCCAGTGTTTCCATCAACTATGGTTATGCACAAATTCCTATAGATGATGTGACATGCTTGCGATGTGTAGCACAAGACAATCTTGCTCACTGTGCATGTATGGTGTATGTAATAAAGTAAATGCTAAAATTCCTAAAAATTGTCCAACTGTGGAGCAGTTTTGACCCCCTATATCAAATACATCATCTTTCAAATTTAGCTATTCAGTATGAGGGATGCACTGATACCACTTTTTCCCTTCTGATACCAATATCTGATCCTTAAATACCTTTGCTGATACCTTTGTTTGTTCTTGGTCCTGACAGTCTTCTGTAAATTGTTCATGGTTTTACCCCTAACTGTTTAGAGATGCTGGGTGGAGCAGGCAGTGGTCTCTTAAATGAAGTCCCACTTTGCCATCATCCTTGGAACGTCACCAGAACAAAGAGTTCTGAGAGGTTGTAGTGCCAAACGTGACTTGTTCCTGCTAAGTCATCGCTTATTCAAAAGAATCCTTCAAACGTTTTTGCATTTTGAGCCTTTTCTCTTTGAACATAAAAACTTTTGTTGTGTTATTTAGACTTTTTTATTTCTGGCTTTTCTATCCAGGCTCTTTTTAATGGTTGTTTTCTAAATTCGCAAAAGAGAGGTAAATTCGCAAAAAAAAACAAAAAAAAAACAGTTGTGCTAGTAGGCTCTAGTCTGCAGGTTTTGTGTCATTTGGAGTTGGGAGAGTAAAGCGAGAGGTGTGCGCAAGGCACAGACCCTGATTTTTGGACTGATCTTATTTCAGACCAGTCGGTGTATATCAGACGTTAGATTTTTTATGATCCGACTCTGATCATAATCGAGTAGCCTATACTGGTCAATCTGAATAGGCTTGGTTCAGTTCAGCAACAACTTAAAAGTTATTTTATGAGTTTAGACCATGCCTTCAACATGGTGGTGATATGAGGGAAGACTGATTGAGGGAGGGGGATGAACTTAGAACTTGGGCTGGAGTTCTGGGCAGCTTCGGCCTGTAGCTAAAAGGCCAAACCCCCCCTCATAGCTGTAGTGAGACTGTTGTAGGACTGAGGAACACGGAGGAGATGGGGTGGTGGTGGGGATTGTGAACTCTTTATCACGGAAATGGAAAATGAAGCTGACAATTTAAGATTGGATAAGCGCTAGATTGGAAGAAGGAGGGGTTTCAGGCATGTTCCTCCCCCCAAACTTCAGTTATAAAATAACTACATGTAGTGTAGTGTGTGATCTCAATATTTCAGTCAATCCAAAAATCTGCAGAAACCGGTCAGATAGTGTCAGATACTCAGTCTTTTTATAATCTGTAATGATTTTAAAAGTCGTGTAGTGTATTTAGAGGTGAGCTTCTGCTTGTTGGGAATGAATACCTATAGCCACATCAGCCATTTGCAGATAAGATTTGTGACCTCTGATGTAGTCATGCTGGAAGTGCTGTTATCTGTCACTTTATGTAAAATCTTCAAAGGCTTCCTGATTGACTTCAGATTTGCTTAATACTTTCTGGAAATACAGTCATTGTGCCCAAAACATGGTGTGTAAAATTTAAAGGCTTCTATCTTAATGAGATACACAGGCTTTATTCAGTGATTATTGGATTAACCTTTGCCTTAAATTGCTGCAGAACAAATTGCAAACTTTGATAAATCATTACTTTTGAACTCTTGATGCTACACCATGTCCAAAAGTATGCAGACAAAATGTCTTTTTGGGGATTAATTAGGGATGCACAGTCAGAGTTGAAATATGAAACATGTGAAGCTAGTACGTGCACTCGCTCTGTATTTGAATGATGCTGCTACACCAATACCAAAATGTCATAGTATAATTAGTAGTATTAATAGAGTTCCCTCTTTGCTGTAGTAAAAGCCTAATTTCTTCTGGGACGGCTTTACACCACGTGTTGGAACATTGCTGTGAGGATTTGATTGCATTCAGCCTCAAGAACATTAGTGAGGTCAGGTACTGACATTGGATGATTAGTTCTGTATCACAAAAACAACCCAATCCTATAATAAACTATTTTGCTTCTTGTTTTGATGGAGATGTTTGCACAAATGCAGGTGTTTGCAGAAAGTTGTGCAAACAGTTGCATTTGTGAGATGCTGCTGGCGTGGGTTCATGGTCGTTTCTTCTCTTTAAATGATTAAATAAAGGTTGGAAGTTTGAAGTTTTCTGTCTGTCTGTCTACCTGCTGCTGTCTCTCTGTCTCTCCCTGTAGTTAAGTGTGAGCTCTGAGTGTGTTCGTGCGCTGATGCGGCAGTGGTATTGCCCGCTGTGTCGTGGAATGCCCTCCCTCAAATCCTGCCACTCGCTCTGCCTCAACGTAATGAAGGGCTGCCTGGCCAATCAGGCAGACTTAGACTCAGAATGGAACAATTTCATTGGTGAGCAACAGTAAATGTGTTCTAAATTATTCTCTATGCAGATTTTGAAGTAGTAGTTTGGCAAAAAATCAAATTCACGCAATTTTCCTCTCAACCCAAATGCATTTGATCAGTCAGTGTTTGGTGTTTGAGGTTAGCTTGTTTAGTTTTGCACTGGAGCTAATATTTTGGGACTGAAGGTTAATGTAGCTAACAAGTAATGGCATGGAAATATTTCACCAATTAGCATCATGTAAACTGAATGCCTGAGTCATCACATATTTGCTTCAAATCATGTCAATAAGTTATAGGCTTGCTTACGTGGTGTCTGACACTGTATGATACATTGCCATTTAAAAAAAATGGACAAAAGTATGTCTATAAACTAGAATAAAGTAAAATAAAGTAGCCACCTTCAAGCTGGACTTTTGTCCATTTTTGTCCACTTGAGCAACCATGTTTGAAATGACTTAACAATTGGATAGACATAAGTATGTGAGGCTTTAGGTATGCACTTTGCGCAGTGCTATTTGTTGGAGCATTACCTCCCATTATTTTAGCTACATTAGCCTCGTAGCACAACAGCAAAACTAAAAAAGCAAACTTCTGACACTTGGCTGACTGACTACATTTGGACATTCTTATGCTGAACTGTTGCTTTTAAGATAAAGGTTAGAAGCTGTATTTTAGATGACCTGTACGTTCTTTCACCAGTCACCAAGTGTAGAATCATTCTTTTTCGCTTGCATTCACCACTGCCTGTCTGCCGCTTCACCGCATGCTCACATTATGAGATCTGGCATCATCACTGTTTTACTTTATTTGGATCAGTTTGTGAATATTGCATTTTGCCCACAAACCCATCTCCCATCCTTACGTTCATCTCTCTGCTCTTTTTCTGATAGAGTTTCCCCTTATGTATTAAACACATGACATTGTAATGATTATATACTGTTTCATTATTATTGTCTACTTGCCTAGTAGTGAGTTGACTGTGGTAAAGAAAAAAGTTCAGTACTGTGAAAAGATGATGGCAAAAGCAATTTTTTTAAGCAATTTCTCTAAACATCTACTTCGAGTGCCATAAAAGGTAGGACCCTGGTTAATAAGCCTTTACTCAGCGTGATATGCTGTCATTTGTTAGACAGTCAGGTCCATAAATATTTAGACATTAATAGTTAATTATTATTTTAGCTGTCTGCCACAGCATATTGGAGTTAAAAAGAAATACTGAATATAAGCTCAAAGTACAAACTTTAATTTGCAGCCTTTAATTTCAGAGTATTTACACCCAAATTGGGTGAATGGTATAGGAATCACAACCATTTTCATACATAACCCTTCATTTTTTGCCAATTAAGCAAACTATAATTAGGCTGAAAACAAAACAAACTCATCAGCGAGATAACAAAAATATATGTGGCCAAATCAAATATTTGGTACAGTAATAAAAGAAAACAACTGTGGTGAAAGACAGAAGATTTTTTTTCCTGGTGAAGAAAAGAAGTGTTATGGTGTAGGCATTTATGGCTACCAATGAAACTGGTTCTCTTATATTTTTTGACAATGTGGCTGCTGCCAAAAGCAGCAGGATGAATTCTGAGGTGTATAGGGCTATATTATGTGCTCAGATTCAGCCAAATGCTTTAAAACCCCTTTGAATAGTGCTTCACAGTGCAGATGGACAGTGAGCCAAAGCGTCCAAAGACTTTTTTAGGAGAAGAAGTGTAATATTCTGCAATGGCCAAATCACCTGACCGCAGTCCAATCAAGCATGCATTTCATTTACTGAAGGCATAACTGTAAAAAGCCCCAAAAACAAGCAGGAACTTTAGTTTGTCCAGTTACTTGCCCCTAAAAATATGGGGGCTAAATATGAGAATGGTTGTAATTTCTAAACTGTTCACCCGACCTTCACACCGGCATTTTAATAATGGTTTATTACTACAGGAGTATCCTGTGTATCCTACTGTAGATGTATAGTTTGCTTAATTGGCAAAAATGAGGGGTGATGTATGAAAATGGTTGTAATTCCTATATTTATTTATGACTGTAGTAATTAACGTTAGCCAGTTAAAGTTGAGGAACACAATTGTGTGTTTTGTTTAATATTCGATAATAGTATTTCCTCTCAGATTATGTTAAGGGATGATTCGTTTTTCTGATTCAGCTAAATGAAGTATGCTAGCTGGTGGTCTCTGGGCCCTAAAGCTTTCCAGCTGGCCCCCAAACCTGTAACCAGCCCCCACAAATTGCTCACTCTTTCTTTTTTATATGTGATGTTTAATATGTGAATAAGTTTCTGCAAACCAAGAAAACCTTTGGTGGACATTGTGTTTCCTCTTTGACAGTAAGATGGCCATGAACTTTAAAATATTATCTGTATCCACTGGTATTCTTTCAGCTCATTTTTCTAGCCATGCACCTTGAGGGCCCAACCTTCACACTGGCATTTTAATAATGGCTTATTACTGCAGGAGTATCCTGTGTATCCTATTGTTAGATGTATTGTTAGTGCATATCTTTATTAAGAAGTCTTTGTATATTATGAATATAGTGAATATTGTGAATATCAACATGTATTTATTTATTTTACTCTGCAGAATTTTTATTTTTTAGTCTTGTCCCAACATATTTTTTTGTTTGTTTTTGTCTTTTTTAGCAGCCGTTTCATACTTTGCAATCAATTTGCATCAGACAAAATTAGCTCATAAAAGTTGCATGTCATCTTTTACCTGTGCTGTTTTGATGTATGGATGAGCTTGTTTAATAGTTTTCACCCTTGATAAATCTTTTTCATCCTAACAGTGTTAAAATCAGTTGCTTTAAGGTCTCGGTCATTTGCTTTCTCCTCTCAGACTCCCTGCTGTCTCTGGCTGATAGGCTGGCTGGGCCATTTAATGTAGAACTGGCTGCTGATTCTGTCGCCGTGAAAGTGTCCGAAGCCATCATGCACATGCAGGAAAACAGTGTCACCATTTCTACCAAGGCAAGTCTCTCGAGAACAAGCATGTGCACACATACAGTAGTTTCCAAAAATATAGTACATTTGGTAACACTTTACATTAAGGGTCACTAATCAATCATTAAATATATAATAATCAACTATTAGTTTCCCATTATTTAGTTATTAGTTAACTCTTCATTAAGCATTAGCTATTACTTAGTAATTGATTAAGCACTTATCAATTAGTAATTAAGTACACTGTTAGTTGATAAGTTAGTTTGTCGTTAGTTTGTGGCTTACTTACTCATTATCTGTGTGCTAATTGCTGCTTATTACATTGTTAATTAACTAATAAGTATTTTTCTTCATATAAAGAAGTAACGTGATAACTTACTAGCACTTATGTGTTAATCCCGCTAATTATCTGTTAATTAACTTTCCATCACCTCCATATATTCAGTTGCTTCACTTTTCTCACTTTGGTTCTTGTTCATTAAAGATGCTTATGGTCACATCTGACCGTAAGATGAGCGCACACAAATTCATGGACGGTTTTGTTATTCATCACGTTCATCTTGGCATATCTGTACTCATATCTGGTAGGAGTGCATGTAAATTTGGGCATAAATGCTGGATATGTGGCTAATTAACCAAAACTATTATCAACATACTCTGTAATTGCAAAAATAAGAACAACAATAGAAAATTTCAATAATACTAATTTGTGTGAGTGCACTCACTGCTGGACATCAAACTCCACCCACGAGAACGGCCATTAGCTTTCATGCCAAACACTGCCGTTTTATTGACTGGCTACTAAAACATCTGCATAAATTAATGTGTGCTTCATGTAAATGATATGTAAATGAGGTGCTGGTAGGCTGGTTTCATGCACTGAAGCTGATTTATCATTTATGCTCAAATCTCCACTTGTTTCCCCATCGTACAAAATTGTTATGAATCAGATGCAGAGCAGTTCATACCTTATAAAAGGCAAAAAAAAGTGTTCTTTTTTACGTAACTTTGATGATTAATGGGCCCTTTTCACAAGATTCGTGATAACTTCCGGTTTAAGCATTAGCAGGGTGAAACTCACTTCCTCTCCATATAGCTACTGCAGACGCGATGTCAAAATGTTTAGTAGTGAACTATAACGCTCAAACACTGAGCTACAACAGCTGTATTTTAATTTTCCTGCACGGTCGTGACAAACAGCGAGAATAAGAAGTGGACGGAAGCTCTGATTTAACTGTAAACAGAGCTGAGATGCTGTATGTTGTTTTTACTGCAGTTCTGCTGCAGCTGCTTCACATCAAGCAGCCTCTGTGTCTTTGTACAACATGCCAGCGATTTCGGTAATATTCTGTTTTCAAAAGAAAGAAGAACTTTTATATGTAGCATGAATGTTATAGACTCTGTTTATATTAAGCTAGCTATACTGGCTAGAAGCTACTGCTAACCAAACTAGCCCGGCTAACATGAAGCGGCTTTTTCAGATGTTTTTTTTCAGCTAGGAGTCTCGTTTTTGACTGAGCAATGAAAGGTGGATGTTTTCTGAAGTGCTGCTTCAAACATTGCCATGAAACTAAGAATAATGCTGTTTGACAGATCGCTACCATAGCTAGCGTTAGAGCTAACTTAGTTTTAAAGTTTGCTGCTCATACGAAGCTGGTGTTCCTCAAACTGCTAATGGCAGGCGAACTAATTAGCGACTGTAGCCTGCTAGCCTACCATAAGCTAATACAGTTTAAACGAGGTCTGTAAAATAGACTTTACATATAAAAGTTTTTGTTTGTGTTTATGTCAGACGTCATCATGTACCTAAATGTGTCACAGAACCTGCTCCACGTTAGCCGGCTGGTGGCAGCAGCTAATGAAAGCTAACTAGCTTCCTTATTTTGGGAATACAGCTACCGTTAGAAATGGCTTCTAGCGTTGCTAGCTAGCTACAGCTAAACATACTACTACATAGAAGAACTTTAATTTCTTTTGAAAACAAAATATTACAGAAATCGCTGGCATGTTGTTCAACTACAGAGACACTGCTTGATGTAAGCAGCTGCAGCAGCAGTAAGCAGGGCTACACCACACACAGCATTTTAGCTGTTTAAAGTTAAATCAGTGCTTCCATTCACTTCCTGTTCTCACATTTTGTCATGATAGTGCACAAAAACTAACATATGTCTGTTGTAGCTCAGTATTTGAGCATTATAGTTCACTGCTAATGCTTAATCCGGACGTAATCGCGACTCTTTGTGAAAAGGGCCCATGGCCATTAGATCTTTACATTTTGACCATTAATTACTTCTTAAATTCCTCTTACTTAAGCATTAATTACTGCTTTTGTGTCCCTCCAAGTAAAGTGACAACACAAAATCAGTAATTAATGGTTAAGTAAGAGGAATTTAAGAAGTAATTAATGGTCAAAATGTAAAGATCTAATGGCCATTAATCATCAAAGTTACGTAAAAAAAAAGCACCTTTTTTGCCTTTTATAAGGTATGAACTGCTCTGCGTCTGATTCATAACAATTTTGTACGATGTGGAAACAAGTGGAAATTTGAGCGTAAATGATAAATCAGCTTCAGTGCATGAAACCAGCCTACCAGCACCTCATTTACATATCATTTACATGAAGCACACATTCATGCAGATGTTTTAGTAGCCAGCCAATAAAATGGCAGTGTTTGGCATGAAAGCTGATGGCCGTGCTCGTGGGTGGAGTTTGATGTCCAGCAGTGAGCGCACGCCTCCCCTGCTGACCAAACTTAATAGTATTAAAATGAAAACAACGGGCTCCCGAGTGGCGCAACCGTCTAAGCGTTGGCCCTATCATCAGGAGATCGCGAGTTCGATCCCTGGTGATGCTACAGCCATCCGTAGCCGGGAGTCCAAGAGAGCACAACTGGCCTCGCTCTCTCTGGGTGGGTAGGATGGCCCCTCCTTCTCCCCCATCACCCAACGCGATGCTAGTCAGCGCAGGCGTCTGTTAGCTGACGTAACAGATCTGGCGGTTGGCGCTTTCCTCCGAGCGCGTTCGGCTGTCCAATGACGTTGCGTGAGCGGCAGTTCGAAAAGAAGCGGTGGCTGGCTTCACAGGTCTCGGAGGAAGCCTGTGTTAGCCTTCACCCTCCTAGCGTTGATAGCATCGTGTGATTGGGGGAGTCTTAACTAGCGGGTGGAATTGGAGACGATTAAATTGGGGAGAAAATCGGGTAAAAATTAAAATGAAAACAACTGGAAAAAATAAATAAAATAGTAAGTACATGCACTTTTGTACTGGACTGTCATGCACACAAATTAGTATTATTGAAATTTTCTATTGTTGTTCTTATTTTTGCAATTACAGAGTATGTTGATAATAGTTTTGGTTAATTAGCCACATATCCAGCATTTATGCCCAAATTTACATGCACTCCTACCAGATATGAGTACAGATATGCCAAGATGAACGTGATGAATAACAAAACCGTCCATGAATTTGTGTGCGGTGACCATAAGCATCTTTAATGAACAAGAACCAATGTGAGAAAAGTGAAGCAACTGAATATATGGAGGTGATGGAAAGTTAATTAACAGATAATTAGCGGGATTAACACATAAGTGCTAGTAAGTTATCACGTTACTTCTTTATATGAAGAAAAATACTTATTAGTTAATTAACAATGTAATAAGCAGCAATTAGCACACAGATAATGAGTAAGTAAGCCACAAACTAACGACAAACTAACTTATCAACTAACAGTGTACTTAATTACTAATTGATAAGTGCTTAATCAATTACTAAGTAATAGCTAATGCTTAATGAAGAGTTAACTAATAACTAAATAATGGGAAACTAATAGTTGATTATTATATATTTAATGATTGATTAGCGACCCTTAATGTAAAGTGTTACCGTACATCTTTCAAAATGATCATACCATAAATATGCAAATCCTCTCATTTGGAAGACCTTACGAGGCCCATGTCACACAAAACTGCATTTTGCTTTTTGAAAATAAGAGTTTGATGTGCTTTGCAAAAGTTTTACTATGTACTCCAGTCCATACAATGCATGTATTATAAAGAAACTTGCAAAAACAGCTTGTTTTGTTTAAATGGTTGGCATGTCATGTATATATATCACTGCAGCCTTATTTTTTTTCTCTTTTTAACCTTGGCCAGTATCCGTTGGTTGCACCCCACCTTCTAGGGGGCAATATTATTTTTTCCCCCCAAATGATATTTTTTAGTTCATGCTTGGTTTTTAGGTATAGTGTAATCTGTTACAGGTAGCGGTGAAGCTATTTTTTTCCCTATTTTGAAATTGAAAGTGATGTTGTATTTTCTAGAGTGTTTTATAGTGTTGGGTAATTTAACACAGCATAACTAAGATAAAAATTTAGAAATGTGTGAAAACATCTATTCATCATTTCTGTAATGCAGTGTATTCCAAAACTAAAAAGAGAAGACCACACATTGAATTTTAAAAGAAAAATACACACACACATTTTCTGTAACCGCTTATCCTTCTGGGTCACAGGGGATGCTGGAGCCTATGCAAGCAGTCATTGGGCGGAAGGCAGTATAAAAAGAGAAACAGATTAATTTAAATAAATAGATCATTATAAATTTAATAAGACAGACATTTTTCAGGATTTCAGGGACATGAAAAAGGAAACATAATTTAAAGAAGGGATAAAATAGAGAAAAATAATCTACCAGGTGAACATGTTCCCACAAACACACATAACCTCACGGAAAGGCTGAAATAAGACAAAAGCTTGAAGAAAATCAACAGGCTAAAGCTCTAAAAGGAGAGAGAGAGTAATGGGGGTGATAGACTTGGTCAAAGCAGTTATACCTTTAAGAAAAGTATATGTAACATACACAATCTATGCACACAATTGCTGATTCATTGTTACAAATCTTGTACATTTGTATGTTCTCAAAATTTGCAGACTTGGATGTTCTCAGAAACAAAACTGAACACAGTGTCATTGGTGAGATTCAGTCAAGTAAGATAATGCCCCTGTTAATGACGTTGGCAAGAGTCAGCCAGGCCAAAGGCCAAATGGTCACTTTGCAGAATGTTGTTTTTGTGTCATAGCATACTCTCATGTTAAATGTAAAGTTTGGATGTATTTTACATGTTTGTTAATCTCACCATGATGGTATTTTGTGTTCAGCTTTGCCAGTTCAGGCTATCACCATGAATGATAAAAGAATGGCATTTAGCTATTAGTCCTCAGATTTGAGTGATTCTAGTCTTATCTAATCAATTTATTTGTTACTAGACAAAACAGCCCATTTTATATAATGGAGTTGTTTAAATTGATGCCAATACATTACACAAATAAGAATATTTGATTCAAGTTAACCTAACTAATTCAAGCGTAAGCAGGACTTGTAAAAGTATCTTACGCTGCAAGCCACCAGTATGTCTGCTAGGATAGATTGGACATGGGGAAAAAACAAGTCCTTATCTCATGTCAAAACTTCCTTCTCAAGGAACATGTCACAGGGCTCACAGAGACTCAAAGGCTCAAGAACTATTATTCCTAGGGATTGGAAATATATTCTTAGGAAACATTTCTGTATTAAATAGAATCAAATTTGATTACAGGAGATAATCTACATTCATTCAAAAGACTTTGAAAGTAGTTTGTTAGTAGTTAAATTTGTTCCAGTATGTGGAATATAAAATGCTGATTTTTAAGGGACTAAATTAGGTCTTTAAATTATGGAATTTCTTATAATGAACATTTTCTTTCATTATATGAACAATAGTATCTTCTATTGGGTTACAATAAAAAATCACAGATTTTGAAGATTGAATATTTGAATATCGCCCAAGCCTAAGCCAATCAATACTAAGAACAGGCAAACTCCAAAGTGAGCTAGAAACTGATAAGGATGCTGCCGTGAAAACAACTTTCAAAGTGTTACAGATGTCAGTGACTGAACAGGAGAAACTTAATACTTAAACAAGCCTGTATGGTAACATAGCAAGAAGGAAACACCTATGGGATTCAAATGTGACAGATCCAACACAGAGCTTCTTCCAGCCAGCACTATCCCAACCGGATTTATAATGATCATGTTGCAAACCAGTGACATGATGCTGGCGTCATCATGCCATTGAGCTGTTTCTAAGTAGCTGGGACCAGCAAATTTATGGGCAAATGCATGACGCTGGCAAGTATATTACATTACATTGTTTAATTTTCCTAAAATTAGGGGACTTGTTTCAGCAACACAGTGATACGAAGCACACAACAAAATCTACTTTGGAGTTGCTGCAAAAAAAAGGAAGTGACTGTTGAGTAGATCACTAAAAACTGATGAACTTACCCAAAGTCTGCAAAGGTTCCAAAGGTTCTTCCACCACATATTGTTCATGGGTCTGTATTTGTGCAATATACTTGTAATCAGTTTATTTTTCCACTTTATTGAAATTTCGAAATTCTCAGTTTTATAAAATTAAAGCCTAGTATTTGTTTAAAAGTAAACATGAGCTGTACCACATGCTTTTGTTTTCACATTGGTTACATGTTTTACATTTTTTGTGTATGCTGTATTTACATCTGTTTTTATAGCCTAATCCTGTAGACATTGTTTTGTGTCTTTCCTGCCCAATACTTCCAGAATTATGATCCAGAAGGACTAAGTACGCTACCTGCTTACTATTTGCTTAATAGTTCTACCGGACTACTGGACTACTTTTACTAGCTTCAGCATAATCTTTGGGTCAATGTAATATACTTACATTAACTTTACAGTACTATCTGGCATTTAAGTACAAGTTATTTGTATTTTAGCATCAGAAAAAAGCAGAACATATAATACCAATTTTTCCCCATTACTTTTTTTACAGCTTCCATTCATTTTAAGAGACTTGTTCAGTTTTTCAAAGAAATCTGCAGGGATATTTTTTCATATCTTCAAAGTTCAGTCTTAGAAGTTGGTTGCATTTTTTGCAGTGATGCTGAGGGATTTGTCAGCTCCAAAAACACCAGCAACTTCTTTCTTTGATTTGCAAATTTTCTTCTTTTTTGTCTGTTTCCTTTTCTCAGTAATGGCTTCCTGACAGCTACACATTCTTTCAGACCCATAGTCCTGAGTTATCTTCTCACAGTGGAAAGATGGACAGAAACCCCTGTAACCCCTTTACATTCTGTTTATCTGAGGGTGGCAGTTTGGTGGTCTATCAGGTCTTGCAGAGATTTTAGGAGTCCCATTTTCTCTATACTTTTAATATTTTTTGAACTACAATTTTGGAAACTCCACTTTTTTTACTTTACTTTTTTTTTTTTACTTATTTTCTTTTTCCTTATGCAAGTGTATTATCTTATCTAATCTCCGCAGAAATATCTCCTGTGTGGTCAGTTAATGCTTACAATTAATGATGTACATTACAAATGTTACAAAATTTTATGTACAAATGTGCGATGTCCATATTTGAATGCCAGTGCATCGGTTCTCATATATAATGTAAAAGATCATACACAAAGATCTGCGCTGTTAGAAATAAAGGTACTGTGCAGGTACATTCTTCATTCATTAAGGTACAAACAATGTAAATGTACCTTCAATGGCACAACAGTGTTTTTAGGTCCAACTGTGGACCTTAAATAAGTTTTTCCCAGGTGAAAAGTACATATTTGTATCTTTTCATAACCTAATGTACAAGAACAATAAAATAAAAAGCCTGGAGACAAGATGGGGTGTGTGGAGTCAATACAACTTAGAAAATATAATTTCAATGGATTATGGTACATTTATGTTCCCTGACTAAAGGCACTGAGATGTACCCTTGAGGGTACCACCCCAGTGACAAGAGGGATACTGCCCCAGTGACAGTTTCATACCTTTTTTCTGAGAGTGTGGGTGCCACTTTTTTGCTGTGTAAGTGAAAATAAAATAAGTGAAAACACATCATTTACAGAGAACTCAGGTCTGCACAATTAAATGCAACATTACTGTTTATTTGCTGAAATTGACATACTGGAGAAAAATACAACATAAAATGTGGCCTATGCAAAGGTTAAGGCACAATTTTATATTTCATTTTTATTTTTTCATTTTCAAAACTAGATTTTGCATACAGTCAAGAAAAAATGTTAGATGTTTGTTGAGTATTTTGTAAATGAATGCAGGATTTATTATAAAAGTGTGTGTGTGCACTCTGCAGGTGTTTCAGGGATGCGGAAGTCCTCGTCCAGTACCTGGCAGAGCAAAACGCTCGCCCAGAGAACGAGAGAGAGAGAATGAGAGACAGCGAGGCAGCAGGAGGCTGTTCAAAACTTACAGTCCAGAGGAGAAGCCAACTACTGCTGCAGGAACCAACCTGGACCGTCTGGTAAGAAAAAGAGGAAAACAAGAAAAAGAGAATGAAAGAATAAGTGGATAAATGAATCGCAGCTGCATCTGATACCAGCTCCACTGGTGGAAACTTCATGGTAAAATATTGGTTCTGCTTAAAGCAAACCAATTAATTTTTATAAATTCCATTTCTGAGCTTTATTTCAGTTGCTTCTGTATGGTTATTAAGTTGGCTTAACAAAAAAAAGCTCTTTTTTTCTTGTTATGGTTGTTCTATGCTCCAGTGTCAGGCTAAAACCAAGTTTTGGAACCAATCTGACTTACAGTGTTCATACCGTGTTTGCTTAATTTTTTTTCCCATGAGAATGAAAAGGGGACTGTTTAACATACTAAAACTGCATCATTCCTCTTACATAATATATACCTTATACCTTGCTTATGCTTATACCTCTACTTATACCTCTACCAGTATACACTCTGTAGCCAAAAGTCTTTTAGTCAAACCTTAGCAACTACCTGGAATTACTATATAAACCCAATTAAGTTATCAAAAACAATCACCAGTGTTCTGCAACTGCTTTAACATTTTAAGCGTAACATTTGGCTTGTCAAGCCAACTTAAAGTTTACTATAAGTTACTATATACTATATTACTATATATGTTACTATATAGTCTGTGTTCATGCGACCCTGTATGGCTGATGTTGTGTCATCTGTGTCCAGGTGCTGGAGCTGAAGGAGCGTCTCAGGCCCATGAGGGGATTCTGGGTATCGTTGCCACACACTATCTGTAATGACGATAAGATAGCTGCTGATGTGACTAATGAGGACCGTTGCTGGAATGGTCAGGCTCGAGGGAGGTGTGTGTGTCTGAAAGAGAAAAGAAAGACAACAAGGGCAATGTATACTGTCATTGTATTAGAGTTATTCATTTAGTTTTACATGATTAGATGATTAGACTCTAATACCACTACTGAGAGGATTTTACAAGTGTAAAATGTAGTTGGCTCAAATGAATAGGGATACTGTTAAGAAGAGGTTTTTCATTGTTTAAAAAGATTTATTCCAAAATACAATACTGATTGACAGTTGGAGTAGTGTGGGGTAATGATGCTCCCCTCCATGACTGAAGTTCAGTTTCCCTCTGAGGCAAGCATACCACACTACACCAATATGAGTCCGTGGGTAAGACTCTTAATGTCTGGTTCCTATCACCTCAGCTTTGAAGTTCTGACTCAGCAGGTTTCTCAAGAATTGTGCATTTCACATCAAACCACTCTGAATGACCACTTAACAACTGAATTATGTGGAAATCCCCTTTAAACAGTAAATGCTTTAACTTCATAAATCTGCTATTCCCAGATGGAAACTCACTGTACAGTCTTGTGTGTTTTAATGTGTTCAGTGTTCTCTATTTGTTATGCTTTAAATAATAATAACATCAAGTTCTTTGGAAAACCATGGCTAAGATAAGGTTTTGCAGAAATTGAAAAGTCAGTACAGTCTCAAATAAATTTGGTTTCTTGTTCTTAGTGTGGGCTGAAAATGGAGAAACTTACACCTTTGACCACAAGCAAGTGTTGTAAAGTAAAATTTTTGCAGTAGTAATGGCCATCTCATCGTAGAAACAGAAAGAGAAACAAGATGCATACAAAATAACATTGTCATCTAGACCCATAAGAGAATCTTGGCTTTCCAACTGTATACACACATTTGTATGTAAATATAATTTAATGTATGTGTGTTAGGTATCTGCCAGATGTCATGGGTGATGGTTTGGTGAATCAGGTGAATAATCCGGAGGTGGAAGTAGACATTGCTCGGCCTGATGTTCGAACACGCCAGCTCATTATGGAACTGCGAGTGGCCATCAACCGCCTGAAACACGCCCACAATGGCCAAGACACCGACTTTATGGACAGTGAGGCCTTTTGTCTGTCTCTTTGTCTGTCTGTTCTGCCTGGCTCTCTCTCTTTCTCGCTCCCTGCCTTTCTCTGTATCTCTCTCGTCCTAGCCAAAAGGGTTTTTGAGTGTGTTTAAAATGATGTCTTAAAGGCACAGTGTATAATTAACTGGTAACCAAAGTAACTTTTTATCATTTAAGGAATATTGCTAAATATTCCTAAAATTGTCACAAGCAGAATTGATTACTGAAATGCTCTTATTACTGGGCTTCCAAAGAAAACAGTACATCCTCTGCAAAACAAAAAAGAGCTCATATCACACCCATTTTGAAAGACCTGCACTGGCTATCTGCATCTTTCTTCCATATATTTTTCCATAAATACATCATTAAATCTTCTGTCAGCTCACATAAACCACTTTCAGATCTTCATTAAGACCTCACAGACTTATTGATATGGTGGAGGCATGACTTACTGTGAACTATAAAAATGAACAAAAATAAACTTTTAGGTGAGTGCAGGGGCCACTGTTGTAGAAAATGGCGCTGTGTTGAAATTTGCCTCGATTCTGACTAACTGGTGCTCTGTTCAAACAAGTGTCGATGATAAAAACTAATGTCTGAGAGAGCAGAAGTGGAGTGGCTGGTGTTGTGATGAAAGAAAGTTGAAATCAAACATGTTCTGTAGTGTTTGGGACTCTAGCTTTTGGCTAAGCTTCTGTGTTACACACTACAGCACAGGTTTGGTTGAAGCTAACTGATGCTAAAATGACAATGAAATGAAATGTTTAGAGGATTAATGTTTTGAGTGATGGTGTTAGAGTGAAATCTGAAATCAAACGTGTTCTGTGGCATTTGGGATGGCAGCATTTTGGCTAAGCTGACGATTAGCCTGTTTAGAAGATATCTGAGAATGTAAAGTTGAGTGGTTAGGGTGAAAGCTGACAGAACGTATTCTGGGGTGTGTGTAAATCTTAGCTGTCGCTGAGCTACTGTCATGCTTAGTTTTTCTAAGGTTTTTCCTGGCTCTAACTTTTCCCCTCTTTCTATCAGCACCAGCTATCAGTGAGTTCCCGCAACATCAATCTCTGACACCCTTTAAAATATAAAAATGGGTAGAATGTTTATTTGCTTTTCAGACATGAAATAGAAATTGTTGTGATTTTGAAATACCAGCATCATTTTGAAGTACTGTCATATACCCTAGTGTGTCTGTGTGCACGCAGGTGATGGAGATGACAGCAGTGGTTCAGGACTGGGGGAGCGGTACAGTGATGACTGGCCCGGTTATGGCTCGTACTCACCTCCACGTAGCCCAGCCTACCCCCACAAACCATCCCGTCCCCGTGACCGGAGCACCACCAAGTGGAACAGAGCTCATGGACCAACTAGATCAGTCGCCCAGAAAGTTTCTCCTCTTTCCCTATTCTTCCTGTCCCTCTCGCTGCTGCTGTCTCTTTCCCTTCATTGGAGATAGCGTGCTCCTGCAGTTTGCAACATCATTCACTGGAAAATGCTGGAATCCTACAGGACAAAGAGCAGCCAGTGACACAAAAGGAACTGAAAATATGAGAAGCACAAAAGCAATCAGAGGTCAGAGAAAGAGAGAAAGATAAATGAGAGCAAGAAAGAGAGTGTGGCAGAGAGCAAAAGATGGAGAGTAAGAAAGAAGCACATACTCTCTTCTTTTGTACCGTGTGCCAAATGGCTTCAACTAAAAAGCGTGTCTATGGCTTATTTGTCTAATCATTATTTTAAAGGAGTGGTTTAGTTTAGCACTAGAGCAACAAGGCTAATGTTGATACAAACATAAGAAGTCAATAGTCGCCCAAATCTTTTCTCTTAATGCATCCACAAGACTTCTCTTACCACGTTCAAACCGTATCCAGGTATTCATTAAGGTTGTACAGACACTTGTAGAAGTGGTTTAGGGCAGTGTTTCTTAAACCTTGTCCTAGAGGCCCACTGCCCTGCACATTTTAGTGCTTTTTATGTTTTAACACAACGGAAACATCCTAGTTCTCACTTGGTCATGAAAATAGCGTAAACTAAGGAAGTAGAATTTGGACAGTGATCATGTCTCGGCTGATCGACTACATCTGGGTAAGTGAAAAATTGTGCAGCTATTCCTTTGACCTGTCAGTGTGCACATACTTCAGTTCCTCATAACATAAATTAGTTTCATTGTAGTTACCAAATAATGCATAGTAGTTACTGAATAATAATCTTGAAGGAATTCTCTACCAATTTTTATACTAATTAAGTTAGTGTTCTTTGTTTTATTATTCTCTGCGCTTGTGCCTTTGGGACTGATCACGTGCAGTTCGTTAAAACAAAATTTTTTTCCCAGTAGGAAATGAATGGCGTAATGTTGAGAGAATTCAAATCTAACTACCACAAATGATGTCAGAATGGACATCTCTGGATATTTCTGAATTTCAAAGACATTGCATACAGACTCACATAAATACTAGCACATATATATGTCACTGCTATGGTATCCCAGATTATTACTAAGGTGTTACTAGGCCATTGCTGTGGTATTCTAGGTGGCTGCTAAAGTGTTGCTTGGCCATTGCTATGGTCTTCCAGGTGGTTGCTAAGGTGTTGCAGGATAAATCCCAAATAAAGTTAAATTACATGTTACAAAAGTAACATGAATTTCTTCTATTCAAAAAAGTAGCTGATATCTTGTGAGCTAGTTTGAAGTTTGATTCCAGATTTCTCATTGAAGCCCCCAGCCATCACATTTGTTAAGCTCCGCCACCAGCACACTTGATTTAACTTAATAAAGGTTTGAATAGCCAGACAGAAATAATACTATGTGTTCTCAAGGAGAGGTTTGGAAATGGTTTTAAACGAACACACATAAAATCACAACTTATTGTATTAGTATTATTTGTGTTTATTGTAATGTTAGTGTTTTTCCAGGCAAATAAATGGATACTAGATAAATAGAGTTTTAATTCAAATTTTCTCAGGTGCCTAAAACCTTAGCTTGGTACTGTATACATGCACCGATAATCTCACCTTTAGGTTTTATTTATTTATTACTTGACCTTTATTTATTGTGTGTGTGTTTACTGTTTTAATGATTTACAGTGTTCGCAAATGTAAAGTTTGCTGTTGAATGTTTAGACAGGGGGACTAAAAGGAGCTTTTGATGTTGATGTTTGAGCCAGTATGTAACCATTCTGTATTTATACCTGGATTTCTGTGTGAGAGGAATGAATGTGTGGGTAAATGTTTTTTTTGTTTGTCTGTGTTTTTCAGCTTTATGAAGGTGCACCTTCTTCTTTTTCTACATTTTCAGAAAAGTTTTACTGAATGTTGAAGCTGAATGTTAGGCTCTCCCTAATGTTCCACTTTAGTGTTAGGAGTAGGGTTAAAGTTAGCATTAGTACTGTAGTTAGAACTGTAAATGTTCTTCCAGTTTCTTGGTGCCGCATCAGCAGCAGTGCTAGGCTTAGAGTGTTGGAGCGTCGATGCTAAAGTGGCTGTGCGCTGAATCTGTGGGACTTTTTGGGCCACTATTGTGAAATACCTGGCTGTCATCTACAGAGTGTTTTTTTTCTGTATTTTGAAGATAAACAAATTCCACTTTTTAATCAACTTTCAGAGACAATTTTGTATTTGAACTCAAAATAAATGTTGCCTCTCATGTATTTGTGTTTTAGTCTGATGTGTTATTTGTCTTCTGATTATGTTTAATGTTTAGTTGTTTAATTAAACTGTCAACCTATCACACATTTTTATTATTAAAACATTCAGTCAAATTCACTCAAACTGTTAATAACAGCTAATTTATCTTTGTACAAGAAACAGTATTGCCTATTAGTTTTAACACCATATACGTGGGTTGCACTACAGAGGAAGATAAGGAGCAGGAGTGCAGTGTTTTGCTGTTGGACAGAGGCAGCGTGAAGGATAATATTGTAATGAGATGGTGGTCGCATTGTATTCAGGGATGGATTACTGACTGGCCCAGATGGGCCACTGCCCAGGGGCCTCTGACAACAAGGCCAGTGGGGGATGAAATACTGGAGGCAATCCACTGCAGATATAAGCATTAGCTAAATTAATATGTACAAAAGACTAAATAAATGAAATAAAAATGTTTTATAATTGTTTTTTGTTGCTGCCTTTCAAATGGGATGTTTTGTCTTTTGATGCAGATAGAAACATAATGCAAACGTTAGTTGCATCACAACTCAGTTTAGCTTAAAGGAAAAAGAGAAGGAATCTTGGTTCTAGTTTGTTGTTGGGTACAATAAAAAAGTGTAAATGTTTACAGTAAAGAAAGAATACTTAAGATTAATGCTAATACGACTAATTTTGTTAATTCTTAGAAAAGATCTTATTTTTCATTAATCTTATTTTTCATTTATTTATTTATTTTTTGTTATTGTCAAGAGCTCAGGAGGCCTCCTAAGATACTGTTAGCTTTCTGTGCATAAAATGTTGTGACTCTGTAACTGTAACTGTAGGCCTACTGCTTCTGTTTCTCAAAAACTGTGTATGTTTTTGCAACGATGTTCTGCTAAATTCCCACTGAGGTGTAGGTTAAATGTTTTTGTAGATGCCACATCATAGCAAGGCACTGCAGTATCGCTTCCTTTATTACACCTGTCTAAGAATAACCCCGCTGCTTTCTCAGTGCTGAGGTGAAACAAAACGATGCATGAACCTGTCCTGTCCACCACTGAGGTGCCAGCTGCACTGCAATAATGGGCCAGTTTATTACTGAACAGTGTACATCTGAAATGAACAGAATAAAATGTGGGAAAGGTGGACCATGCAGGCATTGGAAGAAGACTCATATTCAGAGAAGAATTGTAATCTGCAAATTTATTGTGTGCTGTGGATGTGCAAGCACAGAGCATGCAGATTCAGGAAGCACAGTTAACATGTAACTGGAAAATAACCCCTAAGTTCACTGACTCAGACCCCAAAACAACAAGTGATTTTGCAAAGTTGTAAATGAGTTGACACAAATTCTTTGCTTCAGGTGTGTAAGCAAGTGGCATTCATAGTGTTATGAAGGTTCAGTGATTTTAGTAGTAATTAACATAATGACTGATTTTTAAAGCCTGTCTACTCATTTTCATCATTCTCTTCTATTATCTATAGTTTTTGTGATGTTTTTAGAATAAACTGGCAGAGAAACTATGCTGTTGGTCTTTTTTTGGTGAAAAGATTTTAAACGACCTTTTCTACCATTTCGTTTAAATTGGGAGAGGCTACATTTGGCGCAGGTGACATCAGATCTGCCAAGGTAGCAAATGATAGTATTCTGATGATGTCACAATCGCACTGCTGCCATTTTTTGTAGGCAACATCAAGTTCATTCAGCAGTGCTGTGGTGGATTGTAATGAGATACAGCCATAACCGATCTAGCAAAGTTATTTATTTATTCTTTTTCACTTTTTAAAATCTCATTATGTGTATTAAGTGTATTAACTAATATATTTGAGTGTACTGCTTTGATTATATTTGATTTGTTGCTCTAGTGATAACAAATAAAAGCCAAAATCTATATGGCTGCCATTCCCCACTGTGTAACTAGTGCCCCATCCTAAACCGCAATCTAGCACACTAAATAGTGTGTAAAAATAGCACATTACAAGTGCAGTGTAGTAGGTGAAGTACAGAAGTGTGTGGTTTGGAATGCAGCATTATTTCAGCCAGTGAGACGCGTTCAACAGCTGCCCTGCTGTGCTGCTAGTTAGCTGCTCATTAAACATCCAAGAGGAAGTTTAAGGTATTTGTTGATTAAGGGTTATTTATTGAAGCAAGCTAATGTTGGTTTCGTATTCGCCAACTTTCATTCTACGTTTAAGGCACCTCAGTGTACCTGCAGCACCATTTAAGGTGAAACGGAAAATTCAAAAGGATTAAAATTCAAATTCCAAAATTGGAAAAAAGCCATATTTAAGTGTGTTCCCACTAATGTAGGTGTTAACTTATTTTCACATAGAAAATCAACAAAACAAGTGTTCAAAATTTTGCATATGACTATAGTTAAAACCTATGAAGTTATAGAGTGCTAGAACAAGAGAATAATTTTATACATGTATCCAAAATTTGTCAAATATTTTTAAGGCTAATTTCACCAGTTCTTCAGAATTTCTGCATAATGCAATCATTTCTAAGTCATTCAGGTTTGATTAGGAATTGTCCACAAACTTACTCAGTCAGAACTCCTTACAGTATTGGTGATAGAAACCAGATGTCTGAATTGTCTTTAAAAGCCACCTCACAGTTATTACATAAAAGTTAAAGTATTACATAAAATTACCTTGTGGGTGAGACATTGTTGTTTGCTATCTGAGCTGAACCCACTAAAGCACACAGAGTCAAAATATGAGCCCTTTCCATCCTCCAAACCTGGGACATTATCGGGATACTTTCACTGGCAATATTCGCACATGCACATGCAGTCCTTAGACACAATGGTGGTCCTTGCACTAGGCAAAAGTAGTCAACTGCATAGGGCCACCACGAGCCAAGGGCCCCATGTAAATACACATTAGATAGACTTAACGTGTTGATGTTAAATAACATACTCCAAAATATATATGATTTTTAAACATAGCTGTTTTTTAAGATTGTAGCAATTATTTTCATTAAATTCATTGCAATATCAACCCCCTTTGAGACTGCATTGATTGGCTGGATCAGAAGCATTTGTGCTCCCCACTTACCTAAGACAAACGCAGGTTAGACGCAGGTTGGAACTAATCTGGAAACTGGAAAGTAGATCTTCAGGAGGAGAGTTAATGACCACTGATCAGCGTTATAGAGAGGAGGTTCTTTGGTGTGTCCCGCTCCCGCCTGCAGCTGAAAAGTTTTGGCCTAGTCCCACCCACACAGTTCCGTCAAGGTGAACTGACATGCAATATTGTACATTGTTTGTTCATTTAGAAATACATTATTCTCTGCAGAAATAACATGGTAGTCATGGTCATCAGGCTCACTTTGAAGTAACTTCACCATACACCACTTAACCGCAGTAAACACAAAACCACAGAATGGATATTTTTGGTATTTTGCTGAGCTTGGCAGCTGTGGCTGTGGGACTGTCGCCATCTATGTAAGCTACAAGAATTTGCATGTTGTTCATGTAATCGATTGCTTTGCAAATTTAGAATGACTTAATTCATTTTAATAGTTTTATTGTTATTATTTTTAATTGTTTTTATATATGATGTAGTGATTATTTAGGCTATTCATTAATTTGTGGGATTTCTCTGTATGCATGTTTCGTCCCACACCCTCGCAGCAAGATTGTGGTGGGTCCTGCAGGGACAGCAGGAATCCTGCAGGAGTGCAGACTTCAACCATAAAGGCTCAGCAGGCTGTACATAATGCTAGCAGTAATGTTATTATAGATAATGTTGTAGTGATCACTCAAAAAAGTATTCCAAGTTACTAATTACCTCTCTTAAAAAAGTAATCTCATTACTCATTACCTAACTTCTACTTT